AATCGATAAGTCTGGCCATCAGTCGGGGAGTCAGAATTGATGCCTGGCTTTATGTGCTTGGAGCTTTGGTTCTATATTCTGCAAGTATCGGGAACTGTCAGGCTGGCTTTGCGAGAGGAACGCGTCTTAACATTGCTAAGATTGCCAGAGATACCTGGAAGAGGCTTAGTATTTTGCTCTCAATCAGATTCCTTACGATCCGGTACTTTGAAAGCATCTTAACAACATTGCAAAGAAAAATAAGTTTGTCATAAAACAACGGCTCAATTATTTAGTGATAGCGTCCCCTGGGATGAGGGGTTAAATCACTTTCTTTTTTCTATTTTCTTGTTTTCAATAGTTACACTCGGAAATCACGAGGTATAAAAACACTTTACTTCATCCCCAGTATTTTAATATTCTGCCAACTAGCTCGGCATTGGGCCGGAGTGTGGCAGGAAGATCGAGATTGCTTAAGACCTTACTTCTTGTCCTTGTCTTCCTTAGGTGGCGGTGGTGCCGGGCCTGCAGGCTTGCTGCTACCGGAAGTGTCGTAATGTCCACGCCCCATATTGACCAGGTTGGAGGTAAGAGAAAGATGAGTGTGCTTCCGAAATTGAGACGGTGTCTAGTATGTGTCAGGCTTGCGTCTTTGGCTATTGTGCTTGAATCTCAGATTAGACAGGGTGGATTTGGGGTTTTATATAGCTGGTATGCAGAGAAGAGGAAAGCAAATAGCTGATGACGTCACACATAGTTTTGACCAAGTATAACAGAAAGTTCCGATTTCATACAATGAAGACTTACAAGTAGCACTAGGGCCTAATGTGTGAAAGGGGGATTGTGGTCTTTGTCAGACACAAGGGTTCAAAGGATTCAGCATGCACGATGTTGATGTAACAAAGCATGACAGCAGAGTCTAGTTTGATGCTCTTTGAGCCATTACTATTTGCATCTTCACAAAGAACTGCACAGAAAAGCATGTAAAGAGGTGTGTGCAAGACATAGCGTTAGAAGTAGAGTGTGCAGTATCATACTCAGGATTACCTAAACAAAGGCGTAGCATTTCTATTGCTGTAGAAAGCTTTTCCAAAAGGAAGAGAAGGAAAAAGACAAAGCGAGTTGGCAGGCCGTTGCACCGCTGACAATGAAAGGAATGCATGAAAAACATCCATCGAAGAGCCAAAGCTGTGGCCGTATGTCACAGTCATCAGCCTTCAAGAGCAAGCCTTGCAGGTGGTTTTGCACAATAGCTAATGAGGGATGTAACAACAAGTGCCAGAAGTCTTGCCTCCCGAATCAGCCATCGCGTAGGAGGAGTGCTATTGGTGTTGAACACCTTACTGAAATGCTTCAATTGTAGGAAGGTTGTTGTCTTATGTCCCATGATCCTCACCAGCAGCCCTGGAAGTCACAACCCGAACGACCGGTGATTGATACCGGGGCACCTCACGAGACAGGTCTAGACCGTTTAGGCAAAGCTAATGCCACGACGAGCCACGACAGTGTCGTTGCTAGCAAGGTTTGTCTGGAAGAACTGGGTGAGCCTGGTGAAGGGGATGAGGTCGACGCGATCGTAAAGGTCAACATGGCCGGCACCCGGAATCCAGAGAAGTTCTTTCGGTTGGGCAGCTCGGGCAAAAGCATCCTCGCTAAACTCGCGGGAGTGAGCCTGATCGCCGGAGATGAATAACAAGGGACGAGGGGAGATAGATTCGATGTCATTGAAGGGATAGAAGTTCATGAACTTGAGATTGCTCGTCAAGGTCGGGTGAGTGGTGAGCTCCGGAGTCGAACCGGCAGGGGTGAATTCACCACGAGAGGTCCGGTAGAAATCATAAAACTCCCGTCCGACAGGTGACGTGTCGGTGGTTAGCTCGTTGGGGGTACCGCTAGTGTAGTGGGTCTGACTCGGGTCCTCCAGCTCGGTCCAGCGATGTTGCGCGGCGTCAGCAATGATCGCCTGGCGCTGGGTGAGATTCTGGGCGTGCTGAAGACCATTTCGGTTGACAGAGCCCATGTCGTACATGCTCGCCGTCGCGATGGCTCGAATGCGCGGGTCGATCTTCGCTGCGCTAATGAGGAAACTCCCACTGCCACAGACGCCCACTGCACCAATGCGCTGGCGGTCGACCGAGACCAGATCCTGGGTGCCAAGGTAGTCCACCGCGGCGCTGAATGCTTCAGCATACAAGTCGGGCGAGACAGCATTGCGCGGCTCCCCCGAGCTTCCTCCCCAGAACTGATGGTCAAGAGATAGAGTGACAAAGCCCTGCTCGGCGAGCTTGGTGGCATACAGATTGGCACTCTGCTCCTTCACGGCCCCCATCGGATGGCCGACGATAATGGCTGGTGCAGCGCCCCCGTTCTCAGTGAGGTTGTGGGGGACGAAGAGATTCGCAGCCACAGTCATGTGATATTGGTTCTTGAAGCTAATGGGCCGGAGGGTCACGCTGTCACTCCGGTAGAAGTTGTTGGCACCATAGGACATGTTTTGGGCGGTTGCTGGCAGGGGATACAGCAGAATTGGTAAAAGGCTTAGAGCAGCTGCAACTTTCATGGTGATTCCGTTGATTCGAAAGGTCAGAGAACGAGAAGATGAATTGGTGCCTCTCGGGTAGGACAATAGACCGACCGGTTCGACCAGCATACTTATAGATCTTCAATTCGTTGGTCTACGTCATTAGCCTCAGCAGAAGAGGTGTGTCCCCAACTCCTTCATGCAAGTTGCTGACATGTGGGGCGGCACTCGCCCTTGGAACCCTAACCATCCAGAGTCTCCGAAGCGGGATCAGCTGCGAGCTTGACAGGGGACCCAGTTTGACTCGAAAATGATAAAAGGCCAGTTTGCTTGGTCGTTCCCATTCCTTGCGCCTCATTCTTCATGTTACTTTTTTCAATCCACAATAAGCCCTGATCCTCGTACGCGTCCTCCTCCACCAGCCAAGCGTCAATTCGACATGACTCCTTACGTCCATACCGGGCCGGTCAACTGCGACCAGGGCTTTGACACCGGCAAACTGAGAGACAAGCTAGCCATTGTCACAGGAGGTACTTGGTCCAGAGACCTTTTCCTTGCCCGGCCATCTCTGAGCTAATGAACGAACAGGTGCTAGTGGGCTGGGTGAAGCCTACGTGCGAGCGCTGGTTGCTGCCGGGTGGGGACAAGCCTGAAATTCCTTTCTCATCATTCAGAGTCAGCAGCTAAACCTCGTACACCAGGGCCTATGTGTGCTTCGCCGATATTGACCGAAATAAGGGCAAACAGCTGGAGCAAAAGCTCGTCCGGTATGCTCCGTCCGATCATTTTGGCTCAAGGATTGTCTGTCTCTGACGGGGAGTCGCATTCAGAACCAAGTTCGTTGCCTGCGACGCTAGTCGTTGGGCTGATCAGGAGCAACTATTTCACGAGGCAGTGACCTGGTCCCCAACCCGCCGCATACACTACGTGGTGGCAAATGCCGGGATCCATCGTCCGGACGAAGTCTTCCTGCAAACTCCTCTTGCCCAGGAACCGTCCGAGCCGGATCTGAGTATCATCGACGTCAACATCAAGGGCCCCTTGTACACGGCAAAGTTGGCTGCGCACTATTTCATCCGCCAAAATGGCACCACACCCACCCATGAGCAGGAGGATACCTGTCTGATTCTTATCGGGTCAGGCGCAGCTTTCCTGGACTGTCCCCGGGGACCGCAGTACAGCGCGAGTAAGTGGGCAATGCGAGGGATCATGCATTCGCTGCGGCGGACCACGTACTACTACGGATCGCGCATCAACGTGATTTCTCCCTGGTAGGTTGCAAAAGCGTGCATGTTGTTAATGGCGTCATGGCGTCAGCTAATATATGGCGCTAGGTACGTTCGAACCAATATCCTCTCGGAGGAGGCCTTCGCCCACGTCTCGAATACCGGGGTGCAATTCGCCACCACTGAAGATGCCGGGCAGTGTCTACTGCGGATACTCAGTGACCCCACTGTCAATGGTCATTCGTTCTTCGTCACGGCGAGAAAGTGGGCAGCCAGGGGCTTCATGGACCTGGATTTGGAGGATTACCCGGGAAATGCGCTGCTCGGGGAGATCCAGACCGAGCAGATGCTGAGTGCGCCGGTGTCGGCGGGTTTGTTTGTGTGAATAGGCGTCTGTCCAGGGTCTTTGCCGAACAATAAAGATGTATGGTTCACCATGGATACATTATGCATTGCTTCTTTGGGAATGCCAATCCGTGGGGGGATGTCAGCCTGTTTCATGATTACCATGGTAGACAAACGATAGAAATGAGGAAAATGAGTTCAAGTGGGGCTCTTGGCGTAAGCCGGCTGCATTAGCGCCTTACCTTATCTCTCACCGAGATTCCACCGAAGACGGAGGCACATCGCCATATGCTGACTCTGGGATGCAGCCATGGTACGGAGACTAGGGCACTGCCTCTCGACGCCCTCAACGCCCATGAGCACCGCTTGGCAGACGCGACTGGGAACTTCTAGCTTGCATCACTATCAAGCACCCTCTAGGCTGTGATCGTCATATCTGGTTTGTAATCAATACGCTATCTGCTGAGAGTCGGAAAGATACTGGACATTTCAAAAGGAGGCTGTGCTTAATCCTCAACTGGGCCTTTGATACCCGTGCTTGGCGGCGCCACGACTCAGTGAGACGGCTTACGGTATCCGAAGTAGAATCCGAAAAAATCGGCATTGATTAGCATCAACCACATTGTTTGTGTACAAAGAATAGTGTTGCCTAAGCACTTTGCTTCACATTGTGATGACTGCAAAGCAAATGGCCGTCCCAAGTAGGGTTCCGCAGTCACCGCGCCGTTTTGTGATCTAGTTTTGCTATCCGGCTTGATGCTTTAAGAAGGGGCTTTGAGATGTTGAACAAGTCAGAGTCTCAATCCATTTTCGATCAATCATGTTCCATCGCCTTGTCCTCTGTTTCCTGTTCGCCGTATTACTTGTTCATCAGGCCACAAGTGAGTGAACAGTCGCAAACCTGCGTCGCTCGAAGCCGGCTAACCTGACTAGGTCACTCGACCCACGTCCCCAGAGTAGAACGTGCAGCCCGAGTGAAAGAGATTGACCTTCATTGCCTGTCGGGGGATGCTAGTGTAGCAGAACAATTGAACCTTACATTCGCTATTGACGGATATGATAGCCGGGTCCGACTGCAGCTGGAGCCCAATCGTGCCATCATCTCAAAAGATGCCCGCCTTCATTATCTCGATGGCAGTGGAAGGCTCAAAGAGGTTCAGTCCTTTGCCGACCACCAAGGAAGAGTCTTCCATGGCGATGCCTGGGTATCTTCCACCAATAGCTCGTGGCATTCAGCTGGCCGAGCCCGTGTATATCTCATTCGTGATGGAGACAGCCCGTTGTTCGAGGGGGCTGTAAATCTCTTTGGTCAGTACTATAATCTTAGAGCCATCACCAAGGTGGATGGCTTGGTTAATAGCTCCTTGACGCACGTGGAGATTACCGCGCCAGATGCAGCCCTAAACCAGTTGCAAGACTTATCTACAGGCACGGTGCAGCACACTCGCGCTTCTGAAGAGTTCACCGTCTTGGCATCAGCAGGAGTAGTGACGCATAGCCGGATTTCCCTGCGCCAGTACATGGAAAATTTCGACGAGCTGCTCCAGCACATAGGCAGCACCGCCGGATGTCCCACCTCGCGAAGGATTGCTCTCATTGGCCTGGCCACGGATTGCACCTTTCGAGAGGCGTTTGGTTCGAGTGAAGAAATGCGACGAGTACTAATCAGCATGGTCAATGCAGCTTCGGAAGTGTTTGAACAGACTTTCAACGTCTCTCTTGCCATCCGGAACCTCACCATCAGTGACGAAGCCTGCCCCGAGCGCGCTCGCGAGACCACGCCCTGGAACGTACCGTGTTCCGCGGGGGATATAGACTGGCGTCTCCGACAGTTTGCCTCCTGGAGAGAGTCCCAAGATGGGGCAAATGCCTACTGGACGTTGATGACGAACTGTCCCACCAACAATGTGGTGGGTGTGTCTTTGGTCGGGGGGCTGTGCAACATCAATCAAGGTGCCAACGTCGTGGCGCGCACTTTGAATCAATGGCAGGTCTTTGCGTGAGTGTTTGATTCCTGCTTCAGTCCGCTGCTAGTCCGATCCAGGCTGACGGTTCTTTGATCTCAACAGCCACGAATCAGGGCATATGTTTGGAGCGATTCACGATTGCGAATCCCCTGCCTGCTCTTCGTCTCGCGCGCAATGCTGTCCCCTTTCCTCCTCCACATGCGACGCATCCGGTGCATATCTGATGAACCCGTCTTCCTCTTCTCGACAGATCACATTCTCACCCTGCAGCATCGGGAACATATGTTCCTTGATCGGCAACCGACGGGTGCAGACCTCGTGCCTTGCCGATGGGAGCGACCGCAACCTGACTATGATAACACCAGAGGGATGCGGAAATGGTATCGTCGAAGAAGGGGAGGAGTGCGACTGTGGTGGACATTGTCAGGAGGACGCCTGCTGTGATGGGGCCACGTGCCGCTTCCGGGAGGGGGCAGACGCTCGGTGTCGGGGGAATCATGGAAGTCAATGTCAAGGCGACAGCTGTGATAATCGGCAGTCAACTGACTCGTGGTTTGATCGCTACTATTCGCTGGTAATTGGACTGGTTTCGGGGATCGGAGGAGGGTTAGTTCTTGGGGTGTTAATTGTCTTGATCTGGTGCTGCAGTACTCCTCGTCACCGCGCGGTGTCCAGAAAGCGTGCGCCCGTGGCAGCCCAGAGGTGATCTGCGTCGCACAGTCCAAAGGCAGAAGAAACCTCAATGGCGATATTTATTCCTGCATTAGCTCTAGGGATGGCAATAACGTTGATTCTGAGCGCATGATGATTGGTCGTTGTAGCTAGGTGGCTAGCTGGCTAGATGGCCATTGTAACCCTAACTGGTGCCAACGCAGCGCAGGCACTCCTCTCTTTGCCCGCCACCAATTGGTTGAGACGAGCAGTTCGGGCGATCCCACGAGTAGCCAGCGCCATTTGCGCACGAATTCCTCGGTTGCCTCCCAGTTCCGGGGATCCCACGGCGTTCCCCAGACCACGAGGGAGGCCCCCGTATTGTGAGTGTCCCAGAAAGCCATCAGATCCCGGCAGAGTTCATCTTCGTCGAGCCGGTCTCCGGCGAGAATCATGACATCGCGCATCCGGGGGAAGGGGAAGAAGTCCAGCCAGGGATGATGAGGCACGAGGCGCTGGATGGGGGTGGGCTGGAGACTCGGGGGGATTTGTGCTTCCGAAGAGCCCGGCACCGACAAGTTAAAGATGGACAGCGCATCGTCCGGCTGCATCCAGGCTGGAGTCATGCCCAGGGCGCGGATGTTCTCATTGATGGCGCGGTGGACATTCAGGCGGCGAAGACTGACCAAGTGCTCAATCTGAGGACTGCCCAGCCGGAAGCTCTGCTGAGCAATTGCCTCAAACTGCCGCCGGAATTGCAGGGCGCCTTGAGGAACGAGATGGCAATCCAGATCGTTGTCATTGGGCTCATCGGGTGAATGCGACCGTGGGGAGTCTGTTGAGTGGGCGGTGGTGGTGGTGGTGGTGATGTTGCGGGCCTGGACCAAGACATTGAATGTAGACTCAGTAGTCTCGCCTTCTGATGCAGAGAATTGATTGATTGCTTTCTGCTTCATGCCTGAAATTCCGGACAATGCAGGTGAATAGATGATCATCACGTTAACAAAGGTGATACTTTACATACGGTAGGCGCGCTGATTCAATCGGTTCTGCAGACGGCGTCGTTTTTGTCGGTCGACCACTCCGGTCCAGTCATCCTCAGGGACCCAGAGATGATTCTGCTGAGGCATCTGCGCCAGAATGACAGTAGTCGAATTGTCGGACATCATTCAATTGTTGGCGATAGTTGATAGTAGCCCAGCCTAGTAGGCGAAATTGACACCCGTGACGAGGGAACAGAGAAAAGCTGCCTAACTTAATAATCAAGTGACCGGAGGCGATAAATTAAGCAAGTAGGCGGGTATTAGGTAAGTTGCACTGCCCGGACCCTCCCTTGTCTTGTCTTGTCTTCGGCAGTTTCCCGGCCAGTACCGTAACTTACAATTACCTCTGACACAATAAATACGATAATGCAATTTTCATTCACTGGGTCGGGTCATGCATGGGTCTTGGGTCGTCTTTGATTGCAAACTATCTTTTTTCTCTTTCTTTTTTTTGTATGCTCTCCTCCGTTCCTCTTACTCGTGGCGATTCGGAATGGTGATGCTCACTCCCGGAAAGCGCCTGGCAAGCTCATCCAGGATGATCGTCGCATCCACCGCATACACAGTCCGCGGATTCTCCGCTGGACGTGGGCCGGCTACAATTATCGCTACGAGAGCCTCAGATTCTGCATCCACCACCCATGCGCCTAGCAAGTCATGATATGGAATCGAAATTCTCATCCGGTAGGCACTGACAGGGCCTACCAGCAGGTTATGAAGTTGTCCATACTTGGTCACTCGAAAAGTCACTGGCTCCAACCAGGAGTCCCACAGCAACCCAATCAACCGGCGGGTTCGGTAGTATGGGATAAACCCTCTCCAGAGCGAAACGGGCCACTGCGGCGTCAGCACCTTATCCGGGGTCATATCATGGTACCAATAGTTGGTCCAATGCTCCGGCTTGGGGCCCAGATTTACCAGGGCCCAGCCTTGCTCACGGCTCCAGAACCGGGGGTCGGGCTCCGCCTCGTTGGCCCGGTCCGGTGGAGGGCCGCCGATGTACTGCTCGGTCTCGACGCTATAGATCGCGCTACAGGAAAAGACCGGCGGCTGAGATGGGTGGCGGCGATACAGGAATGGGATCATGCTCGTTAGCCCGTAGTGGGTGCCATCGATCTCCAGGATGCCCCCGATAATCCCATACCGCGTGGTCTCGGACGACTGTCCAACGCGGTAGTAAGTCCCAGAATAAGTGGCTGGAGGAGCCTCAATCCCTGCCTCCCTCGTTACCTCAGCAAGTGCCACAGCAATTGCCTCACGCATTTCCTCACTCATTGTCTCACTCATTGTTGTTGCGCTACAGTGCAGAAGAGGGAGATGGGGCTATTGGTGGCGATGCTGCGCCAGGCATTCAGTTGTGCCCAGACTACAGGGTTATATATCTTTTTAGGCGACGTGGAGACCCACTCAACCACTCACTCCTTTGTACCCTTTCTTCAGCTTGCTGGCTGGTGTTCTTCTTTATGTTCATAATGACTGGCGTAATCTACTGGGGATCTGCGACAAAGTACGAGTGTGGCTGGTGCGGGATGGCTGGCCCGTTGTGTGATGGTTGCAGAAATGACACCATTGAAGAAACCCCCTAGGTCTTATCACCCCTCGCAAACATGAGGAATTGGCCATTAACCTGCCATGCTAATCATGTCAGGATGCAATGGCGACAGGATGGATACCGTTGACGTTTGGTGTTGTTGTTGTGGTTTTCCAACACAAGATATCCATATATATATGAGTACTTCGTGCATCATCCCGTTTAATGTCGCGTGCAGCTCGCAGTATTTCAAGTCAGCAGCCAACAATGCCTCCCCGATTTCGTCGCGTGGCCGTGGTCGGCACTGGTCCTTCAGGACTGTCAGCTGTCAAAGCTCTCCATGATGAAAACACGTTTGACACGATCCGGGTTTTTGAGCGACGCGACCGTGTTGGGGGCATCTGGCACTACGATGCGACTCCGGATCCCTTCCCTAGCCCTAACACTCTTCTCGATGGTCCCAACCCAGCCCCTTCGGCTCTCCCTCAATTCACCCCTTCTCTGCCAGAGAACCCCACTGCTCGCACAGGCATCTATGATCACCTCGACAGTAATGTCGGAGCTAAAGCCATGTCCTTCACCCACACTCCATTTCCCGAGGTCAACTCGGCCCTCTCCATCAGACAATTTGGACCCGCCAATGCCTCTCGTCCATTCCGCGTGGTAGCCAACTACATCGAGGACCTGTTCCAGCCCTACCTCCATCTGGTCTCGCTCCGGACGACAGTCGAACGGGTGGAGAAGATCGCCGAGGAATGGAGACTCACCCTGCGGAGATCCGGCCAACTCTACCGCGGGGTCCCTCAAGACTACTGGTGGACTGAGACCTTCGATGCCGTGATCGTGGCGACGGGGCACTACAACGTCCCCAACATCCCCGAGATTCCCGGGCTGACGGCGGCGTCGGAGGCGTATCCGCGTGCCTTGGAGCACGCCAAGGCCTTTCGGAGCGCCAATGACTACGTCAACCAGCGCGTTCTGGTGGTGGGAGGCAATGTCTCCGCCGCAGACATCGTCACCGAAATCCACTCCCTCGTGGCAGGGCCGCTGTATCTCAGCCAGCGGGGGTCCAACCCCGTCCTCGAACCCGCCTGGACGCTTCCGAATGTCCAACGCAGACCCACCATTGCGCACGTCTCGACCACCGAGCAAGGCATTACCGCGCACTTCACCGATGCCACCTCGCTGACCGTCGATAAAATCATCTTCGCCACCGGCTACCGAGCCTCCTACCCCTTTCTCCTCCCCGACCCTGTGACCCCGAACAATCGGGTGGCAGGCTTCTACCAGCACATCTTCAGCATTGCCGACCCCTCGCTGGCTCTGGTGGGACAGGTCCGGGCGGCTATTAGTTTCCGCATCTACGAGTATCAGGCCGTCGCGGTGGCACGCTACTTCGCCGGTCGGTCGAGGGACCTCCCGACTAAAGCGGAGCAGGATCATTGGGAGTTCAAGCGCTTGCAAAGTAAAGGAAATGGAGTTGGCTTCCATGAGATCAAGCCAGATTTCAAGGAGTATTTTGACTTTTTGGTGGATCTTGCCGGGGAGGGAGCCGGATTACCGCCGTGGGAGGACCGGTGGGCGGAGGAGGCGTTTGAAATCTTGCAAGCCAAGGAGGCCTACTGGAAGAAGTTGAAGGCTGGTGAAAGCCAGAGTGGAGTGAGAGCAAACCTGTAGATAGCAAGTTGTAGATAGCAATACGGTCAAAATCTCGTGCATGATCAGACAAGGGATTGTTTAGGCCGCTCGCGGGATTATGTCCCTATCAAAACATTTGATATTCCCAGTGCTCATCCCTTCTTCCAAGCTACTGCATGTTCAGGCTCCAGTACGTTCAATATAATCGACCAACCCGATGCTTCACGATACTGCGAGAACGGCAACCGCCCAGGCCGGCAAATTCACGGTAAAGCTGCCACGACCCGTCACAGTCGAGGTGGTAGGAGTAATCGACACGTCGTGCGGATAATTACTCACGAGCTCGCCGCCGGACAGTAATTCCAAGGATCCTTTGGTGGTTCCCGCAATATTGACCGTCACGTTCTGGGCCGTCGACCCGTAGTTCGCCAGCTTCACATAGTAGACTTTCTCTTCAGACATAGAAGCGACCCAATAGACAGGTCCAAAGTCTGCAGTGCTTGTGACGGGGAGGATAGTGGTCCCCCGGTTGGTAGAGAACAGCTTCTGCACATAGAATGAGGTTGAGCCGGTGATGGAATCAGGGCTAGAATCGAGACCGAAAAGATCCGGCTATTGCGCGGAGAGACGTTCCATTAGCCACCGTGGATACATTCGATGGGAAAGGACGCATAGAATAATACTTACCGACCACTCGGCCATGTCAAAATGCTCGAGCAAGGGCGCAAAACTCGCCATCTTGACAACATCGCTGTTGCGTTCCAGACCAATCATGTACACGGCTTCGGCACAACTGCCCTGCATGTAGCTCCAGTAGGTGGTGCTCCCATCATTTCCAGTCGTGCTGGCGTATTCCCCAACTAGAAGGGGATGCTCACGAGAATAGTTGTCAAACTCGTTGAAAAGGGCGACAAAGGAGTCGGGCGAGAGATAGTGGTGGATATCGGTGTAGGCCCCCTTGGGCAATGTCGCCGGGAGGCAAGAGCTGGAGGTCGTCGAGGCAATGATAATCAAATCGGGATACTGGGCATGGATTGCATCGTAGATTGCCGTGAAGCGGCTGGCGTAGGTGCTACATCCGCCTTGCACGTTGTCTTCATTGCCTACCTCGATATATTTCACTGGCCAGGGCTCCGTGCGGCCGTTCCTGGCCCGGAGCGCACCATATGTCGTCGTCGTAGAGCCAAGCACGTACTACAGTAGCCCTCAGAGTCAGTCGCTCGAGTGGAGTGAGTTTCCATGTTAACGACATACCTCAAGCTCGTTGAGGATATCATCAATGTACGGGTCCAATGCTGAACCAGAGATGATACCTCCCCCCAGAGAAAGACCTGCCCAGACGGCAAGAACTGGCTCCATTCCCATGTCTTCACACCAGTAGAGATACTCGTCGAGGCCTAAAGGTTGGATGAGCATAATTTCTTCCGTGTAGTGCTGAGGAACGTACCCAGTGCGTCGGTGTTTGCGTAAGTCCAATCGCCTGCAAGCCATTAGATAGATCTCCAACTGTGTGCTCATAGGACGAAGGAGATGTGTCATACCTTGGCGACCTGGTCGATTGACAACAGCGCCAATAGTCTCATTCCATTTCCACCGATTGCTGGGACTAGCTCCTTCACTGTGCAGAGGATAGGGCTCAGTACCACAAAATAGCCCGGTTCGCGACCGTTGAACCTACAGATTATTGCCTCCCGGGAAACGCAGGAAGGACGGTTTGATCTCCGCAAGAAAGCTGGCAACGTCATTTCGCAACCCGTTTTGTCTGCACAGCAACAAGATAGTCTGGTTAGACAATGGTCGAGCTGGAGTGTCGAACTACTGTCCACTAGGTAGACTCACCGTGACTTGTATGTGGGTGGGAAAAGCTGCACCAAGCCGAAATTGAGAGACTTTCCAGCCACCTTCGTAGCATCAAACCGCAACTGCCACTCATTGTCTGCATCGGCAGACTGACTAGATTTGAAGCTCGTCTCGTAGGATGTGAATTTGCTGGTAGTACTTTTCACTGTGATGTTGTGGTCTGCATAGACGATCCCGCTCGAGGTTCCCACGAGCCGGAGATTGATAGTCCCCGAGTAGGCGCCTTTGATGTAGAACGAGTTGCTGTACGTGGTAGCCAGAACGGGAACCCCGTTGTAACCTGTGTTGGCAAATCCTACGTAGCCGGCGGCTCCGGAGGGGACTGTGACCTTGAGGGAGGAGGCGATGGCGCTGCTCACAGGATTGGAAGTATCCTGTGTGATGTTGACATTGCCTACGGCGGCATAGGCAGTCAGTCCAGGGCTGGTGCCCTGGAACCCGTTGTTGCGAAGCACCTGCCCATGAATTCCCCCATCGCCTATATTCGCATTAGCTGATGCAGAGAAGGCTGGGAGGCATGATAGATGAATTGGTCGACATCGTACCTGAGTTGTTGATATCCTGAGCAGGAAAATCCGGAATTAGTATGTAGCCGGAGCGCCGGGTAGACTATCATCACTGACCTCAAACATGATGCCGTATAGTAAAGGGCTGGATGCATTTCCTCCAGTCTTAGACACGGTCAGGTCAATGGCCAGTGCCTGACCCGCGAGCCAAGTCACGGCCCAGGCTGAGAGGGAACCAAGATGCATGACGGTGAGACAAATACTTCGGTGCTTTCCGTATAACCCACCGTTAAACCAAACACTCTCCATGGGGCATTGTTGAATATATTCTAATTGGGAGTGCTAGGTTGCGTCCTTGATGTGCCGCGACATGCGAGTGTGACTGACTCTATGCAGGCAAACTTCAAAACCCCGCATGATGGGCAGAGTCCACCGGGAAATTACTCAGGGAAGAGGTTGCAGAGCTGCAAGGTACTTCCAGGCACTGACACCAAATGTCAGGGCATGGGCTGATGGAAGGCGTGATTTATGGAGAAATTAGATTGCTTCCGGATAAGCGAGGATAAATTGAGGGGACCTGCATCGAAGCTGGGAAACAATGGCGAGTCCCCGCATTCCAGCCGGATAAATGCACGCAATCATCGACTATAAGCATAATGTTCCCACTTCCCCTCACGCCAACCCCAGAGCTTAGCCGCAGAGTTAATTACTCCCTCCTGCCTGGCATCCCTACTCGTGACGAGGTCCTGTCGTAGGGACTGCCACGCTTTAGGGCAAAGATGCTCCGTTCAGTCATGCATAGCTCGTGATTGGCACCATCATTGCCGGGGAAGGTTTGCATACATACTTAGGTGTTGAGGCACCAATTCAGTATCTTGCACTAAACTCGGCCCATAGGCCATTAAGGGTCCTTTCAATGATCTACTACTCTATTGACTACTGCTTTGATCTAATGACTGGTGCATGATAGTCAGCAGAGTCGAGTTTAATCAATGATGGATTCGAGCTTATGGGGCGTCAAGACGTCGAGGAGATAGGAGACAGACACAAACCCCGCAGTGGACCGCACACGACCTTGTCTTGCCCCAGTCGCGATGAGCATAAAGCCTAAGTCCATTTTGCGAGCTCGGACAGGTTTGGGAAAGGTGTAACTATGTCTCATCGTAAGTCTCAGCCTTACGTCTATAAGCATTCGAATAGTCAGTGGCCAACACCGCCATTTCTGAGTCATGTCGATAACAAGCCGGAAGGGGGTTCGGGTAGAATCGGAAGGATCCATGGAGTATAAATAGAGAACCATATCAACACTGTACCAGGGGTCATATCGATATATGCTATCAGAAATGTCTGCTCGATTGATCCCTCGCTCGCCCTTTTTCCACTCCGTCCTTCACTCCTCCTCGACGGCTGCGGTGCGCCCAGAGTTTCTCACTTCACTCAGTTCGTCCTATGCCAACCCACGCCAGCACGTCATAGGCACCGACTGCATCACCCAGACGATTCCTGCCTCCGCTGTAGCTGGCACTAGTGACGAGCGAGTCCTCGCACTGTTTACGAGCGGCTTTTTTGGTGGCTTCGTTTTTGCCCCGGAGTGGCTGCTGCTGACAGCTGCTGGGGGAAGAATTCTACCCGTGGGGTACACCGGTCCGTATCTCCTGAGCCAAAGCATGGGAGAGCTCATTAATGAAATGATAACCCAGGCTTTATGAGAGAGGGCCACACAGCCCAAACCCTCTGGCGGCGGGCGCATGTCTCCGACTCCCGCCTTCATCCCGTGGGCACCTGCTTTTTCGGCACATTTATGATTCTAGACAAGCACATTGCAGTTGAGTCAGAAGTGGCTGAGCCCGGTCGGCGAGCTACTAGTTGGATTGACTACGGCTTTGGGTCGGATGAGTCCTCATTCGCGGGCTGCCACCGATTCCAAATCACAAGAATCGAAGGTAGTCGCGGGGAAGGCCCGGGCAAGACAGACCCAAGCGCCGAAAGCCAGGTGCAGATTGAGCTCCAATCGTTCCAGTGCAACCCGCAGAGAAACGTTCCTTTCGGCTCTGGAATTCTGAAACAGTTCCATTACCAGTATGCGAGGTTGCTCTTTGCCAATGGAATCCAATCCGTATTACTACGGGGAACCTGAGCACTCCCTCTGATGACTGCATTTAATGCCTACGGCTGGTCCGAGGAGCTTGTATATGGCTAGGAGTTCGGCCTTCTTTATCATTGTGTGCAGTAGCCCACCCCACTCTAATTGACGATTACCCAACATCTTGGAGTTTCGGTATAACTAATCTTGAGATCATCCTATCTTACTATAATTACACGAAGCTACTTGACAAAGAACATGAATAAGAAATCAAGCAAGACGATTTGTCGTGACAGAACACGACACGCCCCGTCAGACAACCTGAAGAATCTGCTGTAGCAACTCGTCTGAGCCGGGACCGACTGGGTTCGCAGCCCGTAGAGCTTCATCACCATCCTCAGGTGGGTAGATCAACTTCTGGTTGATGTAGCACTTGACGCGCTTCGCCACTTCCCCGGACATCTGGACATGCCGCTCCCAGCTACCCGAGATCACCGCACCCCAACCGCCCAAGTCCAGACAACACAGATAGGCTGCTTGGGAGTACTTCACCATGGATTCAGCGAGAAGATCTGCTGCGGCATTATGACCCGCTACCCTGCCCAGTTGCAGGGCATGCTGGCAGGACATCAAGGCATAGTGCCCTTCACTGTCCGCCATGGCGCACGCAGCATCCCCAGTGACAAAGATATGCTCGGCAGACGGGGCACGAAGCCATTCATCAACGAAGACTCGTGCGAGAGGGTCTTTGGGGCCCGGGATCTGCTGAGTGAGGGGCGTGGCCCGAACCCCAGCGGTCCAGATGGCAGTTCTGGTAGCGATGCGTTCTCCGGACATGAGGGCAACTCCGTCAGCATCAACGGCCTGGATTCCTGACCCCAACCGACACTCAACCCCGACCTCGCCTAAGGCTTGCGCGATGACTGGACGCGGTCCCGGCCCCAGCTCAGGGCCAAAATCTTCCGCCCGATCAACCAGAATGACCTGAACATTGGCAATATGACTTAGTCGCTTGGGTAGCTCCGCAGCCAATTCGATTCCCGTAAAGCCAGCCCCGCAGACCACCACGGTATCTCGTGCAGGGCTGGGGGAAAGAGACTGGAGAGCGGCAAGATGCGCGTCAAGTTTCGCAGCAGACTCCAGGGAGTCCACGTCAAACGCGTGTTGGCGAAGCCCGCTGATACTTTGCGGTTGAACGACCGAGCTTCCAGTCGCTACGATCAGACGATCATAAGGGACTCCGTGTTGTAATCCATCGATGGACTGCATACGAACGATGCGCGCGTCGGAATCAATGCTTTGGGCGGTCCCCGGGCAGAACTCAATGCCAGTGGCAGCGAAAAGGGGACCCAGAGAGTGGGTCATGTTGCCAGCGTCTGCCTCATAGAGACGGGGCCGGAGAACTAAGGTTGCACTAGGAGCGATGACCAGGACTTTGATGTTGTCGGTCTGGTTGGCGAGGTTGATGAGGCGCTGGGCTGCCAGGGCGCTCCAGAGCCCGGCAAACCCGGCTCCCAGGATGACGATTTTGGCTGGCATGGTGGAATGGTGTTGAATGATTGGAGATATGAGTGAGCTGTGTTCGGTGAGTGGGAGACGATACAAGAAAGCTACAGAGATGCATCGTTTGTAGATTTATAGAGCAGTGGATTCTGTCGACGGGATTCCGGGTACTAGTACTAGGTACCTTAGCATTGATGCTATACACATTGAGAGCAATAGCCATTCAATTGGCGATTCCCCAGGGATTGCCAGGGGATATCCGGGGGGTTCCCGGATACCCGGCGCTAGTCTGCATTGGGCACGAATGCTGAGTCACCCGTATCCCACCCACTTCCCTCCCTCTCCACTCTTCCTTCATCTTATCGATAAACCCATCCATCATCAACATCATCGCCATGTCAAAAGACCTTTAAACTCACCATGAGTTCCAAGGTCACCCGTTCATCGCTCGCATGCTTACCCTGTCGCAGTCGACATCTCAAATGCGACGGCAAGCGGCCCTTCTGCAGTCGCTGCGTCGAAGTGGCTCAAGCGTGCGAGTACACCCGGTCGCGTCGCGGGGGTCTGGACCGCGCTGCGCTGGCGGAACGGCGCAAGCGCTTGTTGGCCGCCGCTGCAAGCGAGACCATCACCAACATCCCTGGTTCAACTACCTCCCCTCCATCCAATTCTTCTCACCCGCAGACGCACATCGGTCATTCAGATCAATCAGATCAATCAGTTCTGCTCGACTTGTACTACCGCCATTTCCACTCTTTGCATCCTTATGCACCACCTCAGGCCCACTTCCAAACTCTCCTTCGCGATCCTAGTCACGAGGTCCGATGGAGGCCTCTGCGTGCCGTCATGTGTTGTATAGGTCATATATATCATGCTCACGAATGGTCCGACCCTTTGGAGGAGCAAGCTGAGACCTGCCTTGCACAAGCCTCCCCACTCGATCCCGTCCTGGTTCCGTCCCGCCTCCTCTACTCCATCGCTCTGTTCTGGTATGGACGGAAGGAGCAAGCATTGTCTCAGAACGAACAAGCAGGACGACTGGCGAAAGAGCTACAGATGTATCAGCCACAGTTTTCAGTCACTCACGGTGGTGAGGATCGAGTTTTGCAAGAGTGTTGGCGGCGGGCGTGGTGGGCGGTCTATGTTCTGGACTTATTCTTCGCAGGCACGTTGGGCACGATGACCTTCGCATTCCTAGATGTTGAGGCCACGGCGGGACTACCATGCGAAGAACATGAATATGAGTCAGGTGTAAGTTGAAAAATTCCATCCATCCTCATCGATTCCTGGACTCAGGCGGGTATAGGTAATCCCAGCGCCCAAGACCCTCCAGGACTTTGACTGCCGCGAGTTCGCCCTCGATGACCCGGTCTTTTCATCCTTCACCTACCTGATCGGTGCCGCGCGATGCGCCGCAATGGCGATTGCAACCGCTCCACGGAATACAGTCAAAGAAGACTCGACCAGAGTCATTCAGACCGCCGATTCAATACTTGACGGGTGGTTGCTGCTCTTGCCTCCGAGCAGGAAGCAGCTCATGCGTAAAAACGGCGAGATTGACGAGCTCATGTTTCAAGCGCACTTGCTCATTCACGTGTAAGCACGTTGCAGAATGCTCTTGTCCAACCCAGATAAAGCTCACCATCCCGCACAAGCGCCTCCATCGGCCTACACCGGCCGTTTTCCGACCTCAAATTCAACCCGGTTGAGGATCTCTCCAGCTGCTCCCGAGACCCACCCCCAGACGCCCCTACCCCCGAGTTAGTTAACGTCCACACGGTCCGGGTCTTGCGATCCGTCGAAGCCCAGGTCCGCCTCTTGGCCCTCCCCGTACAGCAATTCCATCATACCCCATTCGTCACCTGCATGATCAGCGAGGGCGCCTTATCGTTGCTCTCCGCCTGCTACTGCCTGTTGGCTGGCAAGGAGCTGGCCATCGCACGCGACCAGATCCGCATGATCATCGGATGCCTCAAGACACTGGGCACATTGTGGCCCCGGACCGCCAAGAACGTCCGCGAGATCCAGACGATCGCGAGCCACGTGCTTGGTCTCATTTCCGCAACGGCGGCCAGTGTGCGCTCCAGGGAGAGTACTGGCTCGAGTGAGCTACCCAGTCTCAGTCACGGGGAGGGGACACAAGCCTCGGGAACTACGCCAGAGGCCTCAATGTCCGGCTCCGAGTCAGATGTCCTTTTGTCTTTGGACTCTCTGCAAGATATGTGTGGGTGGTTCAATATGGGGGATTTAGATGCGGATCCGTCGTGGGGTCTGGGAATTGGCCTCTAAAACCCAGGTTGGAGGGCACACTTACTGCTGGCAGTAATCTACACTATCTATCCAAAATACACAAATAATACCATCATCGCAATACTTGGGGGGTGCTCGGACCGTCGTCGCTTTGAAGAGGACTAAGACCATTGGTCGCGAGGACGAAAGGGCCTCATTTTGCAGCCACAAGTTCGGACAAGCAGTCTACATAGACTTTCAGATAATGCTTGGTTATGTTCTGGACGGTGTCGATTATCCTTTGCCAGTAACATCCTGCCCTTCCCTTTCTGGCAGGTCAGAATTGTGAAATTATATTAGAACAATAGATCTCGTAAAGGTGAGTCTGACCGAGGTTGAGCACCGGACGAAGCCTAGGAGCATGTTACGTGAGAGCGAATAAATATCGAGCCATCGGAACAGCTATCATAGCACCCAAGCACCAACAATGATAGCAATTAACCCACAGACAGGCATATGCTCGCGATGGCTAGCGGCAGCGCCAGTGAACATGGTCCCAGCAGCGCTGATGGTACTGGACGATCCTTGCGCTGCGGAGGTATACGCCGTAGCTTTAACGGTGGCGAAAGACGATGCTACGGGTGTGCTGACGGGTGATTTCGACGGCGTCGAAGCGTAGGCAGCCGCAACCGAAGATGTGTATGTTGTTTCACTGCCCTTCATGCTTGCAGGTGCCATTGGATTGGGTACGTTCTGTGCCGTGGTATCACCATTGGACGCATTGCTAGAAATAGTCGAGACGCCTGATTCGGATCCAAACGCGGAGGAATCTGGTGCGAACTGGGAGGTGTTTGACATGGAGGCCGAGCCAAGGGTGGAGTCAGGGTTGCTCGGCGCGGTGGTGCCGGTGCCCTTGTTTGAGGCAGTGTAGGGGCGGGAACCGGAGGGAGAGCCGGATGCAGGGTTTGAGTCGGAAGCAGGGGCAATCATAGAGTCGATGGTGGAGCTATGGCTAGAACCTGTGCTAGCGGCATTGTCGAAGGCAGGCTTGGACAAATCCTCGAAAACGGGACTAGAAGATTGGCTGGACGAGGAGCTGGACAGACCAAGTGAAGAGCCGGGCACAGAGTCCGAGGAGGGTGAAGGGGAGCCGGAAAAGGTTCCAGCGGAGAATCCTGCAGAGAGGCCTGCAGATGAACTTGCAGAGGGAAGTGTGGAGGAGTCTGCGGAGGAGTCTGCACATGAATCTGAGGTGGAGCCTAGGATAGAGCCTGAGATAAAATCAACCCCAGCTGAAGACTCAGAGCTAGAGCTCGACGCGGATGGTAGATAATCTGCTGCAGAACCAGAACCAGAGCTAGATCCAACACCTGAGCCGACATTCAAGCCTAAAGTCAAACCATCACTCGAACTAGAGGTCAATTCTGGGATAACTGCTCCAGTTCCAGTAGAGACAGATACAGGCTTGGAGCTAGAAGCAACGTCATCCACGGACGACGTGCCAGCTGCCTCGTAGTGGCTGATTGTGCTGGCCAGGCCATCACCTCCTCGACTTCCCGCGACACTGTCTTGACCAGCTGCAGGCGCCGAATTGTGGGTATAGCGCGATGCGGAATTGGGTGCGCTTGCAGGGTTTGAATCCGTTGCTGCGACAGCCACGGTTGTCTTAGCCGGAATGACCGTGGTCCCAGCCACCAATGTCTGAGTACTTAGGAATGTGGTCTGGGCGCGAGCAGGGCAGTTGGTGACGCTAGCAGCGCACGAGGTAATCGTCATCGTTCGGGTCGTCAAGATTGTGGTGGTATAGGAGCCATCATCGACGACGGCTGCAGTGGCTGCAACGGGACAGATTGTGGTTGAAACGAGAATAGTTTCCGTAGTGAGGAATGTGGTCTTCTTGGAGGCAGGACAGTTAGGGATGGTGGAAGGACATGCAGTGATCGTAGCAGTGCTAGTGGTGAAGACTGTGGATGTAGTCAGGGCAGGCCCAGCAGAAATTGATGTCGTCGCATCCGTGCTCGGCGCTGTCCTAGTAACAGCGGAGCTAGCAGGAAGACCAGTAGGTTGCAGATTCGAGGAACCTGGAGTCACCACTGGAGCCGCGGTAGATTTGCCTTCGGTCAAAGTAAGAGACAATGCAGATGAAGAAATGAGTGGAGGCGCTGATGAAGCCACCACCGACGAGGGCCCGGGAACTGAAACTGGGACAACCACCGGTGTCGTGACAGGAGTGAATGCAGTGTGACTTTCTGAGGCGGAAGAAACGGCAATGCGACTGCGGCTTACTACAGCAGATGAGAACCGAACAGGCGTGGAGGAACGTATAGCAACCGAGGACGCTGAAGAAACGGACATGCCACTGGGACTGGCAATTGGTGACAAAGAACTCGCTGCTGACAACACTGCCAGACCAGGTGAAACGGGCCCAGAAGAAGCAGCAAGAGTACGGCTGGGGCTAACAATTGCCGACGACGAGATCACTGCTGAGGGGCCCGCTGCTGAGGGAATCGCCGCTGAGGAAACCGTCACAACGGATGAGGCGGGCGAAGACGCCGCAACAGCACGGCTAGGGCTAACAATTGCCGACGAGGATATCGCCGCGGAGGAAGAGATGGCAGACAATGAACGCACCGGAGTCGAGCTCGCCACCACTGCTGATGAAGTGGTAGGTACTGGGCAACTCACGGTTTGAATATTCAAGTGGACATTGGCAATTTCCATGTCAGGTAGATAGGTATAATCGTCGGTAGTGCATTGGATGCTGACAAGGATCTGAAGGTCTGAAACCGTGGCATCCCAGCTTCCATTCACCGTCATCCAACCACTATCAGTGGATGAAAGCGTGACTTCGTCATGAATGATATCCAACAGGAGTCCCGAGGCATCATCAGACAACCGGTAGTCGATACTGCAAGAGACGGCCACATCGGAGTCAAAGTCATCTGCCTTAAGCCTCCAAGAAGCCGATGCCACGTACGTTTGCCCAACTTGTGCATCGGCAATCGTCTGGTTGAGTTGGTAGAAGTTATAGTTCGAGCCTGAGACAAACCTAATACGACAGAATTAGAGGAATCATTCTCAATCAAAGGCTGCGTTTTTCACCTACACACATTGACCACCTCCTGGAGCATCATCGTCCACCAAGTCGAGATTGGTACTCCGTGACATGTCTCGCCATACGGTACTCTTGTCGTCGGAGAAATCGCCGTCTTGGACCAATTCCCCGGTCAAGGTGGTCGTGGCAGCTGCACACTGGGAGGTACAAACCACTTCCGGTCCCAAGAACGAGACGCTGGAGATCTGAAGTGTGCTCGTCGAAGCCTGCGAGCAGGTAATGCTCAACCGGAGAGTCGCCTCGGTAGTCGTCGACTGCCATTGTCCCATGATCAAATCCCAACCGGTGGCACTTCCATCCGAAGACCAAACGTAGCCATAGGTCACAAACCGGGAGGACTCTTCAGTGACGGCGTAGACATCCATCTCGCAATAGGGATAGTCCCCGTTCGAGTCTGGCTCTCCGAATAGGTTGGCGTACATGTTGAATTGGTAATACGGACCCTCTCGCAGCGAGATGGGTTGCTCCAGCACGAATCCATTTTGCGCGGTGCTATAGGGTATCTCACTAGGCATTGCACATTAAGCCATGTGGACATGCCAGAAGACGATACTACAGTAACTTACAGATATCCTCCATTGTGAACACCTCCACTGGTCACGATCGAGTATTCGTCCGAGCTGGAGGTCGAGGTCCAGGCCGACTCGTCCGTGAAATCGCCGTTGGCCACTGCATTGCGGGTGACTTGGGTACAGACGTCGATGTCGGTGGCATAGACAGCATCAATGCCGTAACTTACGAGCCAGGCTAGTGGCCACAGAGAATGAGTGAGTTGCATGTTCGATATACAAATGATTGTGGGTGAATGAGAGAATGACACTGGCGACCAAGTTAAAGGAGGGGACTGGCCACAAGGGCCGAAGTGGACTTTGGAAAGGACTGAGACGAAGTCTGCTCAGAACCGTGCAATCAATCAGGAACCTTTTACCATTTATAATATTCTCTCGGCTGGCAGTGGGCCTCAAGTGGGTGGAATTCCTCGGTGGTCGGCGTCTCCGTCTCGGGAAGAATTGCCCTCGATTCTACGTCAACACGAACTACGCCCCACTTTCATCGCTAGTTTTGTCCCTCTATCGATCTATTGATTACCTTTTTGGGGAATGGGTTAATCAAGCCGATGCTTTCCCCTGAAAAGTCCCCATATTCATCTCTGTTTACTCGGTAACTTAGACATGATAAGCAGCTAAAATACCCACCAGCCCTGATCCTGGGGTTGAAGTCATGCACAAGTCAAGTTCACATCGCCTCAAGATCACCACATGGTGAAGCATCGAGTTGCTACCTCCGAAGTGACTCTAGAGCAGAAATCTAAACCCTCGAGTCACAGCCTGACCAGGCAGCCCATGTTCTTCATTATCGTGTCGCTGGCTGCTGGAGGCCCCCATATTGGTACCCTCTTCTCGGTCCAGCCGCTTGTTCAGTCGTCCAAGGTAAAGACGCAGGATTGTGGCAAAGATGATGGTCATGGAAGACATAGCGATATTCACGCTGAATGCCGTGATATATCTGGGTGATGCCGAGTCTGTCATCCGACCAATCAGTCATTCATTTGACTAGACTTGACTCGTCATGTTAAAAGGACAACTTACTCGGGTATAGATACGGGGTATAGATCTGGCAAACATTACTCAGACAATTGATCAAGGCAAGAGCCGCCGCTCGCTTTGTTGCGGGACGGGGGAGGACTGTGTCTTGTCAATCAAGGTGCTCTTGTACGCGTGACATAGGATGCGCCATACTGTTGGAGATGTAGCCCAGGGCTACCACATAGCTGGAATAGATTCCAGGAAGCATGATACACATCGCCCTGATTTAAGTCAGCCTCAATGGTTAACAGTCCCAGAGAAAGAAGAGACATACACATATCGAGCGGCGAAAGAACTCCCCGCCATGGCGAGGATGAACGACACAATTGCGAGAATCGGAGGCAGGACGATGTGCAGATAGCGTTCCCCTGTCAAATCGGCGTGCCAGGCATTGATCAGGACGACAATTGTTCCGATCAGATACGGCGGCGTCGTGAGCAGCAAAGTATCGATATTATTCTTTCCAAGACCAGCCATTACACTAAACCTCATCAGCGCTCTATTTCGCCAGAAGTTTGATGCAGAGACATACCTGGGGAAGAAGGTAGTCACAGCTCCTGAAGCTGTGCAGCCGTAGATGGTCCCCAGTAGGAGCCAGGCTTTGATATCGCTGGACTAAGCGTTAGCTGCAATTTTTTCCTTGAGCTCCAAAGCTCAATATCTTTGAGGCTCTTACAAGAATGCCAACTTGGCGCCATGCAACATAGATTGGTGTTGCTGGTCTACCCAATCATCCTCACCAATGTCGGCCTCCAACCGCCACGCAGCCAGGGCTTTCTCTTCCTCCGACAACCATCGCGTGGTTCGTGGTAGATCGGGAATTATGAAGAACGAGAGGAACGCGACAAATACCTGGTCCCATTCTTAGTCCCTCTGTTCCAAACCCCGGTGCGTCGTACACTTACGGTAAGCGATCCTTCGATAATGAATAACCATCTCCAAGCGCCCAGGCCTCGTGCGCCATTGAGTCCACTGGTGATTCCCGCCGAGATAAGACCGGAGAAGGCACCGGATAGCAAGGAACCGGAATATAACAGTGCAGTTCGTTTCCCGAGTTCTTTACGAGTGTACCAGGCGGAAAGCAGATACAGGCAGCCGGGCTAGAGAGTCATCAGCATAGCGTCAATCATGCCATTCGGTTATGTTGGCCCACATACAAAATATGCAGCCTCGACGAATCCCAGAAAGAATCGGCAGAGTAGTAGGCCGGTGAAATTGTGCGTGGCAGCAGTGGCGCAGGATATCACACCCCACACCAGCATACACCCGGGGAGGTAGAGCGACGGCTTTCCCAGCTTGTTTAAGATCATGTTGGATGGCACTATGCACGGATCCATCAGTCCGAAAACGCTGATATTGAACATCAAGCAACTAGACTCACCCTGCATAAGCAAGTATCCGATGAACAGAATGCTGACCGAGATCTGGCAACAGGTCAATTATGCACTGAAGGATGTTTCTCCGAACGTGTATCTACCTGATACTGGTCACCCTTCAGATTCAAGTCTGTCTCCAGCCCGGCCAGCTTGGCGGCAGCAATGTTGTTGCGGTCCAGGTAATTCAGAATGTACATGACCACGATCATGATGAGCAGCCGAATGTCTACTTTGCGCACTAATTTCTTCTCCAGCTGCTGTCGTTCATCGTCGGGGAGGTTGCGAATGTTGCGTACCAGGTCGTTGTCCTGGCCCTTGGTGGTATTCCCATCGTCGCTGTATTCGAGATGGTCGGAAGTGACATCTTTCCTGATTTCGGCCATGGCTGCTGGTAGGGTATCGAAGGTCTTTTCGCGTAATAGAACTTGAATGGAAGTGGGGAGATCAGAACCAGCAGACCTGTCCACAGCACGGCCAAGAAGACAGAGGCCGATCAACTGGATTTTGCCAAGCTTAAATGGGGAAGAATCTGGGGTAATTCCTGCTGGTGATTTGGTTAATTGCGGGGTAAGACTGGTAAGACTGGCCTGAAGCACGGGCTGTGAACCCTTGATTCCTATAATTCGGAAAAGAGCCAGGGCTGTCGGAAACGACGAGGTCTCGTTTGCCTGTTCTTTTCCGAGGAGGACGTCAACCAGTCGACCCACGTGAGGATCCCCAGGATAATCATTTCACACCACTGACCTTATGACTTTATCTCGCAAGTGACGCCAGTCCGGTGCGTTGTGCCATATAACTTTCACTGTGGCTCAGCTTCTACACTTTCAGTGTTCTGCCTGTAGACTATAGGGGTGGATGGTTACTACACCAGAGGCCATTGAGATGAACTCGGATATCCATCACATTCATCTATGTACTGTCTACTGTATCCTACTGCATGCTGCATCAAGCCTGAGCCTTCAATCGTTTCTGCTCTTCCGCCCAAGCCAATGCGCTTTTCCGAGCACTCTCTTCGCCCACCTCGCCAAAGATGTCTACCCCCAAGCGGGCCGGGAAATTCATGCGTTGGTGCTTTTCCAGGGATTGAATCGCGTTGAATGCCTCTTCGGGCAGCACAAAATCTAGATCGGCAAATGTATGGTCAGATCTACAACCGTGGTATCCGATAGAAGTTGATACGGCGCATACCTTCGAAGTTGCTCTGGATTCTCTCGGGGGTGACCGACTTGGGCAGCACCACGGTGCCGCGCTGAACCGCCCAGCTGATCAGCACCTGCGCTGGGGTCTTACCCAGCTTCTTGGCTGTTTCGATGACGAGAGCATCGTCGACCGCGCTAAATCAACCTTAGTTACTGTACCTGATGTCGGAAAATGCTTAGCGCCACCTACCGCGGAATGTTATAAATGTTGTTTCCGAGAGGAGAATATCCCTCCACAACAATGCCCTAGACACAGCACCCGTCAATCCACCCGTCCACACACAATCCACAGCAAACTCACTTGTTGTTTAGACCACTCCAGGAGGTCCCGCTGCTGAAGATAGGGGTGCGCCTCGATCTGGTTCACGGCAGGGGGGATTTTGGCTCTGGCAATACGTTAGTCAACTCATCGTCTCCCTGAAACGAGCCCACGAACGTCTTGAGCAGTTCCTCGATCTTCTCGCGGGTGAAGTTGCTCACTCCAATGGAGCGAATCTTCCCCTTGGCCACCAGCTCCTCCATTGCCGCCCAGGTATCCTTGATCGGCACATCAATCACATCAATCAAGCCCGTCTCCTCAACGATCGGCTGGTTGGTTATCGAAGAGTACCGGAACGAGACCGGCCAGTGGATCTAGACCATTGATCAGTCACCATCCGGCATCCTTGAACGCCGCTGTTTCCTCCTACCAGATAAAGGTCCAAATAATCGGTCTGAAGGTCGCTTAGGGTCTTGTCCACGGCGGCTTCGACATGTTCGGGCTGGTGGTGGGTATTCCACAATTTGCTGGTAAGCTAGAGCCCCGTCGCGGTCAGTTCAGAACTCGGAGGAACTCGAAGGCAGTTCACATCAAGCTGATGAAGGGTACACGCACGAAGATCTCCTTGCGCGGAACTCCAGAGGCTTTGATACCATCTCCAACCTCTTGTTCGTTGCCGTAGATGGCAGCAGCGTCGATGTGACGATAGCCTCCTTTCAGGGCAGCGACGACAGCCTCGCGCACCTCGTTCGGCTTCGATTGCTGGAATAGCCACACTATCAGTATCCATCTTTCCGGTCGCGTCGTTCGTGAAGAAACATACCCAAGTTCCCAGTCCGACGGCCGGGATCTCGTAACCAGAATTCAACTTGAAAGTGCGTCCGGAAGCCATATTGCGGGTGATGGATGGATGGATGGATGGGGTGTTGTGTTGGTGAGAAGAGGGGAACGTTTCGTATGAGACAGATGCCACGCACGCAGCAAAATCAACAGAGCCTGGGTCACCTGGAATCAATCTAGCCCATTTTTGTTAGCCCCGCGGTTTATCAATATCGAGCTCGAGTGACGCCATCTGCGCCTACCTCGGAAAAGAAGCGGGCCGGTGGCTTTTTCGATAGGGTCGGCTGGTGAATATCCGAGCACTCGGCCACCTTTTCCAACTTTTTCCGAGCGATCGCACCTTTTCCGCAGCACCTTTTCCGGAATGCTTCCCGGTTCCAACATGGACCGTGACAACCATCTTGTTGATGCTACTGCTGCTGTTGCTGCTGCTGCTGCTGCTGCTGCTCCTACTACTCCTACTGCTCCTACATTTCAACATGGCTTGCGCATCCTCTCCTCGACTACCATCTCCATCATCACTTCTCAATCATGGCGCCTATCACACAAATCGAGTATTTTCGGGTCCCCCCACGATGGTTGTTTGTCAAGATCACCGATGCCGATGGCAACACTGGCTGGGGCGAAGCCTCCCTCGAAGGGCACACGGAAGCAGTTGAAGGCTGTCTGGACGCCTTTGCGGCTCGCTTTCACGGCCTGGATGCCAAGTGAGCTAACGAAACATACATTCTACATTCGCTCTGCTGACTCTATTCCCCTCTCGGTACAGTGCAATCGAGCATATCTGGCAGAATGGCTATCGCATGGGATTCTATCGCGGAGGACCGGTCCTGATGAGTGCCTTGGCGGGAATCGATATTGCCCTTTGGGATCTCAAAGGTGAGGGCTCTTGAACCCTTGTGTTGGTGAAACTCGAGCCTAATCATCTCGTTCTCTCCTAGCGCGCCGACTGAGTTTGCCCATCTACGAACTCCTGGGCGGCAAAGTTCGAGACCAATTGCGAGTATATGCGTGGATTGGCGGTGACCGACCAGGGGATGTTGAGGTGCAAGCGTAAGAGCCACATTCTCGGTGCCTGGGAGTCATTCTAACCTGAATTTACTTCTATCTAGACGCGCCCGAATTACGCAAGGGTTCAAGGCTATCAAAATGAACGCTACCGAAGACCTGGGGTGGTTAGACTCTCCCCACGCACTGGATGCATCGGTGGAGCGTCTCAAAGCTGTCAAGGCACTTGGTCTGGACGCGGGCGTAGACTTCCACGGGCGCGTCCACAAGGCGATGGCGATCCAGTTGGCCCACAAGCTTGCCCCGCATGAGCCACTGTTCATCGAGGAGCCGCTCCTGTCCGAGCACCCAGAGTCGATTGCCGCCCTCTCCAAGCTGGTTCCCATCCCCATTGCGCTGGGAGAACGGCTGCACAGTCGGTGGGACATCAAGCCATTCCTGGAATCGGCATCAGTCAGCATCCTCCAGCCGGATATCTGCCATGTGGGTGGCATTTCGGAGCTGCGTCGGATGGCGACCATGGCAGAGGCCTACGATGTAGCCCTGGCTCCTCACTGTCCGCTGGGTCCGATTGCCCTCGCGGCCAATCTGCAGGTGGACGCCGTCTCGGCTAACTTCGCGATCCAGGAGATGAGTGTGGGCATCCACTACAACCATGGCTCGGCCGAAATTGGGACGTATGTCAAGAATCCCGAAGTCTGGACGGTGCGAGACGGTCTGATCCGGTTGATGGACGGTCCCGGACTGGGGATCGAACTGGATGAAGAGAAGATCCGGGCGGCAGCGGTAGATGCAGCTGCCTGGCGTAGTCCGAGCTTTCAGGGTCCTGGGGGAGAATGGCGAGAGTGGTAACTCATTCATGTAGGAGGGGATATATATGTACATAAAATTAGAGCTCTTCCCATCTCAGGCATCCTTCCTTGTATTTATGAATTCGACAGTGTAAGCGAATTCAAGCACTACATCGAAGAGAAAGTACCCTATCCTAGCTATACTAGATACAGACTTATATTACCTAGTAGGGGCCATTGCCTACTTCTTTCCCTCGTATACAGACTTGGCGGTGGTGGTCTGTGCTGGCGTACCCCGTGGGGTTTGGGGGTTAGTAAGTGACTAATCCACTATCTAACTATCTCTCTCCCGGGCTGTTCTTTCTCCCCCCGACCTCCGTTATTCACATCTTCTCCCCTGCATCCCATCCACTATTATTCTACATTCGTCTTCTATTGCAGCCTCTGTGTCATCTTCAACACACCCCTCCCGCATCATTTGCACACGCCGCTCATGGACACTCAGGCTGAACCCCCTCGCAAAAGACGATGTGGCAAGGAGCGAGTGCGCGTGACCCGCGCCTGCGACGCCTGCAAACGGTAGGCCGGCCTCCATCCACCCTCTCTCTGTATGAGCACTATCCTGAGTCTGTATGATAGAAAGAAACTACGCTGCTCAGGAACGCTTCCCTGTTTCCTCTGTCAGCGCACTAGCAAACCCTGCGACTACACGGCCGAGTACAACCGGGGGAAACTCCCTCCCATTCCCCCTCGGGAACAGCCCAATACTCCTCCCAGGACGGAGACTACCACGGAGTTCCCCCTCGAATCATCAGCCTCGCCAGTCAGAGAGAACGGCTTTGCGAACGAGGCTCCCTCCCGCGGCTCTCCTGAGGCACATCAGACCGATATGGAAGGTCACTATGTAGGGCCGTCGTCGGGGGTTTCCTTTCTGATTCGAGCCCAGAAGAGACTGCAAGAGCAGATCTCCCTCCCGATCAATGCCCCTATCTTCAGCTTTGGTGACGCCCCGTTGTCGAAGCTGGACCCGGCTTTTCTCCTGCTGCCGCCTCGATTTGAAGCCGATATCCTCATTGCTCGATACTTTGATTTCGCCTTCCCGACCCACCGCTTTCTCCATCAGGCCCAGGTGGAGGGATGGGTCTCCGAGTTCTATGGTCCCCTCCAGGACTCGGCGGTGGCGGGGCCTGGCAAGCGCGCCATTCGGGCCTTGGTTTTGATGGTCCTGGCTCACGCGAAGCAATGTTTACCAGAGTCAGATCAAGGGATCGGGGCGTCGGTCAACGGCACCCTCTACCTGGCGGCAGCGGAGCATCATCTGGCTGCCGAGACTGGCCCGGTGCGCTTGACGAGTGTGCAGGCCCGCTTGGCCCAGTGCTTCTACCTCCTGTCGCAATCTCGCATCAATCATTGTTGGAGTCTGTTCGGGACGACCGCCCGCCTGGCCATCGCCATTGGCCTTCATCGGGCTCGCAGGAGAGACCGGGGGTCTGGCTTCGATTACGTGGAGGGGGAGTGCCGAAAACGCGTCTTCTGGTGTGCGTATAGTCTCGACAACTATCTCAGTGCCGCTCTGGGCCGTCCGCGCATCTTTCATGACGACGACATTGACCAGGAGCTCCCCTCGGTCGCAAATGACAGCCACATTCTAGCCGACCAGATCCTCCCGGCGACGACATCAGCCCAGAGCATTATGCTGGCCCCCGTCTATCATGCCAAGCTGTCCGTCATTATTGGGGGGGTCTTACATGATGTCTACGGGCCCCGGCGGGCCAGTGGGCAGGTGGAAGCGGCAGCGGCCGCCAAATACGGGGCCAGTCTGTCTCGCTGGCGTCAGGAGCTATCGGGATTCCTCGATGTGGCAAACGTTGATCTGCTCATGCTGACCTACCAACGACAGTATACCGTTCTCAATCTCGCTTTTTACCATGCGCAGGTCCTCCTATACCGACCCTTCATTCTGAAAGACTTTGGTCACTCCACCGTCACCCGTCCTCAGAATGACAAATCATTGGAATCGGTCCGAAAGTACACTGGACTGTGCCTGGAGGCTGCCATGAAGATCGCGGCAATCGTCCGTGAGTTATGCGACCGGGGCAGAATGTATTCTACCTTCTGGGTGAGAGGCCCCAGCTTTCAGGAGTCCAAACAAGCCCACTAATAAGCCCGTGCCTAGTTTACCCATTACTACACATTTTCCGCGATTGTGGTTCTCTACGTCCATGTGGTCCAGGGCTCTACACAGGTGGACCGACCGGACCGACTGGACTGGTATCTTCGGATTGCTGAGCAAGCCCAGCGGGATCTCGCCTTCTGCGGCTCGCGCTCTTCGTTTGCACAGCGCTACGTGCTAGTGCTCGAGGAACTTCGACAAGAAGCTCGAACAGCGATCAACCATACTCGGTCGGGAGTTTTAGGAAGCCAGACTGTCTTCTCATCTGCCCTGGGCCCACCTCCATCACAGCACGGACATGGCAGCTCCGCACCCCATGGAGCTGCAAAAGCCAGTGTGGGCGAAGCCTTGTTCGGCCTCCAACCTCTGCAGACCGGAGCAAGACCTGCGGACAACCAGTGGATGGACCTGACCTCCGTGCACCTCCACCCGCAGCCCTCTCACGCAAACCCTGTGAACGATGGACTTGGTGGGACAGGGATCATGAATGTTTCTGACTGGGAAGCCTTGGACTCGCTAGCCGTTGCTGGACTAGGGGAGCTGGACTATCTCTTTCCTTTGGATGGCTTCCAAGATGTCTAGCTTCTAACCAAGCAGACTACGAACCCTCAATCAATTTTAGGCTTCCGACGACTGGTTTCGAAGTACAGGTCAATTTAGAAAGAGATCACATGGCTGAGACTTCGACATGCTCAAGCTAACAAGAGACCTTTGAGTAAGACTACAAGTCCGGCAGCCCCGGGATCAGGAACTTCGCTCCAACCTTGCTCGGGGACATAGACAGCGCGCCCCAGCGAGGCTCGCATCCCTTGCGTCCGATCGCGCCCAGACTCGGCGGCTAGCAGAGCGACCTCAGTGGATTCGCCCGCTTGCAGCGCTCTGATGAACGGATCGAGCGCATCCATCAACGTCCGGTCTCCTACTCGAGCTGGAGTGGCGCGCTGCAGAGCATCCAGTCCTGCCATACAAGCCTCGCTCCATTCAGCGGCTCCGACTAGTCTCTCTTCCTGCAATTTGTCTCCAGTGTCCCGCAAGGAGGCACCGACTGCATTGAGGAAAATCGCATAAAGTGCGCCCGAAGTGCCATCCATGTTGTTCTCCACCACCTGAGCAATGGCCTCCACGGACCCAACCACATCGCCGTCGGGGGGCACGCAGCCGCCCTTCTCCATGTCCGCCAGCATTGCTCGGGCTGTCCGCGCCAGCGTCGAGCCACAGTCTCCATCCCCGACCAAGGAGTCGAAGCGATCAATCTCTTCCTCCGCAGCCACAAGCTTGTGACAGGCACGAGTAATGGCCGCCGAAAGCGATCGATTATCCACTATTGCATCAAGATTATTGTTAGGTAATGACGTACACGGAGGGGTAGCAACGAATCTACTGACCCTTCAATCGCGATGAACTTGAATCGAGGCGTTTGGCCTTCTCGTCCGCAGCAGCAGATGACTTTCTTGCTACGGGAGATGTCTCCAGATGTTGGTGGGCGGTCCAGCCAGGACTCGATGCAGTGGCATCTAAGGCTTGTATCATTGCTTTGCTGGCTTTGAGCAATGTGATGCTAAATCCCTTTCCGTCTAGGCTGGTCATGTAAGCCCCAGCGTATACTCGTCTTGGATGCAAGTTGCGTTCACCTACGTCTCTCTTGTTAGCCAAATTGAATCACAGAAGGGGATCTCTAACTTACCAAGTCGTGCGATGACCACCTTCGTCACAGCTGAGAACTCGAGGTTCGAAACGCCACCAAGGTTGTTAACCATGAGCACCAAATCTTCCGCATCGTCGAACCGGACATATGCTCGATCATTGTCTTCCTGGTCCAGTAATTGATCCAGCATCTGATCTACAAGAATGTTGATATCAGGTTGAGGCTTAAGCACGTAGCACCCTGGCTCATTGTGGATCCCCATGCCAACCTCGACCTGGTCTGTCCGCACCGTCAGGTCTGTGGTAGGCTTTCCCACCAGATGCACATGATCCAGGGCAGCTCCGACCGTGGCCAGATTCGCCACAACGCCCTCACCTAACTGATATAATTCCTTCAGAGTGGCACGTTCATACTGCGCGACAGCCCCAAGGATCTTCTCCACGAGGACAGTACCAGCTAGCCCTCTCCGGCCTACCTTGCCACTTTTGCGTCGGCCAACCGACACGTCGTCCCCCACAACCAAGACTGCCATGTCATGGCCCGCGAGACGAGCTTTCTCTGCAGCGAGATGAAAGTGGAGGACGTCCCCGGTATAGTTCATGATTATCAGCAGTGTCCCAGCCGATCCACCGGCTGAAGCAATCGCGCTCTGGATCTGATGCACACTTGGCGATGCAAACACGGATCCGGAGACCGCAGCGCTGAGTAGGCCATCGCCAACCAAGCCGGCAAACGAAGGCTCGTGTCCCGCACCACCGCCAGATATCAGAGTCACCTTAGCGTTGCCGTCATGGCGGGAGTTAACGATTGCTGCAGTGCATTAGCATTGGCTGGTATTTTGCCGGCTTTGAATCTCGTCACCCACATTTATTATCGGGGTCGTAAATCAGCGAGGGGTGGGTCAGTGCCAGGCCCTGGAGCGCGTCCTGCACGAGAGTGGTCCCGTCGTTGATGAAGTGTCTGGTTGCCATTGCGCCGAGCGTGAACAAATCGTGTGATGCCAGTATGACCGCAGCTTCAGCTTCTTTGTGGCGACTTTTATCCCTTTACATGTTTGCCATACCCTTTTCCTACAACGTGAAGCATTCCGGACCGCTTCGAAAGTCGGCCCATGACGGGGATACAAGTCCGGCACCCTCGGTTGAATTGATGCTCTGGTGATGATTTCCGCCCCAATGACTGCAAGATACAGACTACGTGCGAGAGGAATAAAGTCCGAAGCGTTACCCAGACGCGTCCTATCTTGATTCTACGGTTTTCCGGGCTTGGAGCGATTGCTTTGGTCGGCTAAGGCGATGCTTATCCGAGTGGGGATGCACTTTTCCGACCCCACACCCTAACCGGGGGATTCTTTCGCGTATTCCCCCGCAATCCAGCAAGTACAGAGTAATAGATATACGATTCATCATATGCATGGAGCCGCAATTCAGCCAAAAAAAGGCTTATCTTCCATCTTTTGCACTCAGAGTAACCATGCTTCTCACCTCATCCGACATGGACAGCGTGACAGAGGCCCGACAGCTGGGTGAACTCCCACCCACCCCGCCTCACGAGAAAGAGATCTCTCCTCAGACGATCAACGACGTGCTGTTGCAACTGATCCAGGATGCCCCAGACCTACCACTGGTAGGGTACCCGGAAAGCTCTCATGGGGTCAGCGACTATGTATACTACTCTGCTCGCCAGCTGGATCGCTTCGCCAACGGCGCAATCGAGCAATTGAAGAAGGCTGGACTTGAGAAGGTAAGAGCAATGCCTTCGCCTACGTATCCTCTTCCTTTCTAATGTCGCTACGCAGTTCTCGCACCCGACGGAGAACCGAGTTGTCGCGATTCTCGGCGCCTCTAATCTCGACTACATTGTCTCCCTGTTCGCACTGACCCGATTGGAATACGCCGTCTTGCTGCTCTCGACCCGACTCAGCACGGAAGCTTATGTGAATCTCCTCGCAGCCACCAAGTGTACTCAACTCCTCTACTCCGGGTCAACCACAAAGGCTGTGAACAAGCTCGAGTCTACCACATCCCTTACTAGTTACAAGATCCCGGACCATGCCGCCTACTCAGCCAGCACCCTCAGCTCGTCTCTACAGCTGACCGACAACAGCCACTTGAGTCAGAAATGGGCGTTCATCATCCATTCATCCGGGTCTACGGGCCTTCCCAAGCCAATCTTCCAGACCCATGGGGCGTGCATTGCCAACTACAGCACCAGCAAGGGATACCGGGCCTTGCTAACCCTGCCGTTGTACCACAACCACGGCCTTTCGACCTTCTTCCGATCGCTGTTCAAGCGCAAGCCGGTTGCGATCTACAACGCCAACTTGCCCTTAACAGGCAATCATGTCCTCGAGACGATGCGGGTGACAACCCCAGAAAGCTTCCATGGCGTGCCGTATGTGCTCAAACTGCTGAGTGAAGTCGAGGGCGGTGTTGCGGCCTTAGCGCAGTGCCAGCAGGTTCTCTTTGGTGGGAGCAGCTGTCCCGATGATCTGGGAGATCTTCTCGTCGAGCAAGGAGTGCGGCTGATCAGTCACTACGGCGCGTATGTTAGCCCCTCTCCAAAGATACCTTGATGTCTGGAAATCTAATCGAGAGTGCAGAACCGAACTTGGTCAACTCATGACCTCCGAACGACCCCCGGAAGACAAGGCATGGAATTACGTCCGACCCCTCCCCAAGGTGGCTCCTTTTGTGAAGATGGACCTGCTGGAGGATGGCTCGTACGAGTGCGTCGTGCTCGATGGTCTACCGGCCAAGGTCAGCTCGAACTCAGACGACCCCCCAAACTCCTTCCACACTCGCGATACGTTCCTGAAACACCCGTCCATCCCCAATGCGTGGAAGTACTTGGGTCGACTGGACGATCGCATCACGCTCGTCAACGGCGAGAAGGTGCTTCCCGTGCCCATCGAGCACCGCATCCGCCAAAATCGCTATGTCCAGGACAATCTCGTGTACGGCGTCGGGCGTCCGCTCCCGGGCCTGCTTGTCGTACCCAGCGTCGAGTGTCAAAAGATGACAAAGGCAGAGATCCTCGAACAGATCTGGCCGGACATTGCCGCAGCCAACGCAAATGCAGAGGCCTTCAGTCAGATCTCCCGCGACATGGTTATCGTCTTGGACCCCGGCTGTTCATATCCCGCCACCGACAAAGGGACCATGATCCGCAACCGGTGCTACCTCGAATTCAATGATCAGATCGAGGAGAAGTACCGGAAGCTCCAGGAAGGTGGCTCGACCGCCGCGGCAAGTCGCCGCGTCTTCGATAACGTACAGGAGCTGGAGCAGTTCCTGCTGTCCTTATTCCGGGACGAGCTAGGATTCACGGAGATCGATCTGGACACGGACTTCTACGAAGCAGGTGTTGACAGTCTTCAGGCCATCAAGGCACGCGGTGTTATTCAGAATCAAGTGGACATCGGGTCCGCTCAGCTGGGTCATAATGTGATTTACGACTGCGCCAACATTCGCAAACTGGCTGCCCATCTCGACGCGGTCCGGACCGGGCAAGAGAGCAGCGCTGAAGACGAGCTGAGTGTCATGGCCCGACTGATCGATAAATATTTGACTTTCGTGAGCAGACCCGCTGCCGAAGAGACGGTTGTAAGTTTCAGTCCCTCTCTAGATCACTTTGGGATCTCCATCAGGTACTAAACCACGCAGCTTCTTACCGGCACCACCGGCTCATTGGGCGTTTACATCCTCTCACGCCTCATGCAGAACCCGTCCGTTAAGCAGATCTACTGCCTTGTGCGGGCGAGCAGCCCCTCCGACGCGCTCGACCGCGTGCTCACGAGCCTGTCCACCCGATCGCTGCCGATGGTTAATGTGTCCAAGATCATTGCCCTGCCATCGCAGTTTGGCCGCGAGAATCTTGGCCTGCCAGTCGCGGTATTGGACGACTTGCGCCAGTCGCTCACCAAGGTCATCCACGCTGCGTGGGCCGTCAACTTCACCCTGGGCGTGCAGAGCTTCGAGCAACAACACATCCGCGGCGTCCACAACCTGATCAACCTGTGCCTCTCCAGCACGCGCACCTCCCCCGCGGAATTCTACTTCTGCTCGTCGATCTCCGCCGCCGCCGGCACGCCTCTGCCGGCGACCATCGCCGAGGGCCCGATCCCGGAGCTGGCGCACGCACAGAACATGGGGTACGCGCGCTCCAAGCTCGTGGCGGAGCGCATCATCCAAGCGGCGGCTGAAACGACGGGAATGGTCGCCAAGGTCCTCCGCGTGGGCCAGATCGTCGGCGACACGGTGACGGGCAAGTGGAACCGCACCGAAGCCATCCCGCTGATGCTGCAGACCGCACACACCCTCAAAGCTCTGCCGGCGCTCGACGAGACCCCCTCCTGGCTGCCTGTCGACGTGGTGGCCGATGCAGTGCTTGAACTCAGCGGCATTGCCACCGCCGATTCCTCCCCCTTAGCATCGATCTCCCGCCATGACCCAAGCGTCGTCTACCATGTGCAGAACTCCAGGACCTTCCGCTGGACGGAGGACCTGCTCCCCGCGCTGCAGCAAGCAGGACTGGAGTTCGAGATCCTCCCCAAGCGGGAATGGGTGCAGCGGCTTCGCGAATCCGATTCGGACCCGGCCAAGAATCCCACCATCAAACTGCTGGATTTCTTCACGGAGAAGTACGATAACGAGAACCCCGGTCGAGCCGGGTTGAGCTTCGAGATGGAGAAGACGGAGGCGGCGAGTCCGTCATTGAGGGGAGGCGTTGAGTTGATCGCGAACGGGCTGATTCGAAAGTTTGTGGATTCCTGGCGGGGGGAGTGGTGATTTTGTTAACTTGGAAGTTGTTTCTGTGAGGGCTGGTAGGGTTAGATTGTCATTGTTCTAGTATGCAGGAGTCATGAGTTAGCTGTAGTCTTGTTCAATACCATTGTTTTCTCCGTACCTCAACCTACCCATGCCCAAGGCAGTGAGGCACTGAAGACATTAAAATAAGGCATCAAGGCATCCAGGCACTAGGCATCCAGCCAAGGGGCGAAAGCCTCGGATGACCAATGCCGACTCACCTCCACTTTTCTCAGGCACCAACACCCATCCATGGCTCGAGACGGCAAAAGTGATTGTACCTGATCCGAAACCGATTCGTGGTGGCAAGATTCAGCCCACTGCACCACTTTTAGGGCATGTGAATGTTTGTGAGCAAAAGTTGGGATCCACTGGTCGGACTCAATACCCGAAGAAACCGGGTATGCCTTGGTCAACAGCAGCACCAGCAGCAGCACCACCACCACCAACGCCCAGTCTAAACGGCCCCAGTCCGGTCAATCCCCCATCCCCCTGCTGATAACAAATGTGAGGTATCACTTTGGGGTTGTTTCAAGATGCTGACCACCCTTCCTTACCCCTGTCACTAAGTGAACTAGCGAGACTACAAATAACTTATTCTCCGAGGTTGGGATGGCAGTGCAATCGGAAGCGATTTCGCACCGCAAGGTAACCTGAAGTTAGGGCAGCGTCCTGCTCAAGGTTTCTCTCCCGCGCGGCCGACGAAGCGCCAAGCAGCGTCGACAGCTATCAATGGCAGCCTATTGTTCGGGTTTTCTCTTTTCCCCACTCACACACTGGGCGTTCAGCCATTAGACTGCGTACGCGGCAACTGACAAGCTTCCGTCTGCTGAAAATCATGGAAAATCCTTGGGATGACTTGATCCAGAGGATGGTCACTCTGTCCATGTTGAACAGCCCTGACTGACTCTCGATGGACTCTGGGGAACCACCCCGATCGAAATAAATTAAACCTCCTCCGATCTAATCTCATCCTCCCCTCCCCCCCTCCACTCTTCCTCTCGTTGATGAATTCCTGCAAATGCACGGATGACCTTGTCGGTGTGTCAGGGGAGAGAATGATTCACCAACCAGTGCCACGTTCGACCGACTTCTGTTGGGCCCACTTGGTGCCTGGCAGGCCACGCCATCCACTTGAGCCAATCTGGTTAAGCAATCAGGCCAGACCAGATGAGACCAGTCAATAGGAGAATGCATGCAATGGATGGGGCCTGAAGTCCCAAACATGTTCGTCTGTCCCCCCCCTCCTTATCCTCGCTGGGAGGGGGGGGGGGGGGGGAGGGCGCTACATTGGGCCCGCGCGCCTTACACTGTACTGAAAGCCTGTCATACTTCTTTTATAAGTCCTGCTGGCTCTGCTGCTCCTTCCTTTTACTTCTTTCCTTCCTTCTCTTTCTCTCCTTTCGTCGAGTCTTCTGTTCCCCTACACTTTCGCCGTTCCTCATCCCCCTCTCTCCTTCGGGATTGTCACTCTTTTTTCTCTGGCTGCTATCAGTCAGAAGTCATTCCTTGAAAACCACCCCAGCTCAGCTAACCAGCCACAATTCGATCGTATCGTCCGATCGTCCTTCCTTTTTTTTACTCAACTCACGTTATTTTAAAAATCGTCTGAGTCGATATTGACGTCCTGTCTCTACTTTATTCCACCATGTTGTTCTCCAACTACATCCGCGCCGCCGCCCTCTTCGCGGCCATGGCCTCGGCCATTCCCATCGCCATGCCCCCGACGGCCACCGAGGTGCAGGTCGAGACGGAGACGCAGGTGGTGACCGAAGTCCTTGTGGCTGGTTCCCACGGACACGGCTCGCACACCACCACCACCACCACCACCATCAAGCCCACCACCACGGCGCATCACACCTCGACCTTCGCCTCCACCCGCGCCTCGGTCACTCCCTCCGCCTCCGCCGTTGCCTCCTCGACCACCAGCAGCAGCAGCAGCAGCGCGACAGGCGGCCGTGTCGAGATCGTCAACAATCTGAACCACACCATCTACGCCTGGTCCGTCTCCAACACGCAGGGCGAGATGCAGACCCTCGTCCCCGCCGGCGGCACCTTCACCGAGAGCTGGCGCACCAACCCGGACGGCGGCGGTATCTCCATCAAGCTGTCGTCGACCACGGAAGTGAGCAAGGTGCTGCAGTTCGAGTACACCGCCGAGAGCGAGACCGTCTGGTGGGACCTGTCCTGCATTAACATGGAGAAGAACTCGTGGTTCACCGAATACGGCTTCTCCGCCGTCCCCAGCGTCGAGTCGTGTCCGTCGGCCAAGTGCGCCGCCGGCGACAGCGACTGCTCCGAGGCGTACCAGAACCCCGACGATGTCGACACCCTCAGCTGTTCGTCGGACAGTGTGATCAAGCTGGTTCTGGGCTGACCGCTGTCCGAAGACAAACAGTTCCATTGAGACTCGCCTGTCTCGTTTCTTCTCTTTCTTCACGCGATGACATATGCCACTCGACTTTCTTATCCTTTCTCTTTCTGTTGACTCTTGCGGGAACGGTCCTTCGAACCTGCGAGTGTCTGCCTTTCAGTGCTTTAGTCTTATACCTTTCAATCAATTCGTATACATAGGTGTGTTCTTATCTACCTTTATCCTTGCCTCTTTGGGCTTCCATTCATTGATGACGTGACGCTGGACGCATGGTCATCTCATTTGTACTTTATCTCACTATAATCGCCAATTTTGTATCGGTCGCACGGCCTCAGTCGGGTCACTTGTCAGATCGCATGAATCTAGATGTACTTGTTTCAACTGCCTCGAAGTTATGCCTCGACTGGGAGCTGCGGGTGTTGAGCGTCGGCGGCAACAGACGTGGGATTGCTGACTTTCGAAACCTGAGAGCCACCGGGGCCGCATATCCGCTGTTCAAATCGCACCCTTTCTCCAAACAAGCCGATTCAGTCTGGCTGAAGTCGAGGGGTTTGTAAGATCTCCTGGTTGTGATCTCGATCTGTTTGAGGCATCCTTTCCCTTCCACCACGAACTGCTCCAGCACGCTATCAAAATCCAGTTCTTCTTGGTCCACATAGTCACAAGCCATGATCTTTAAGGTTTCTGATTTGGGTGGAAACTCTTGAATCATCCACGGCGAATCATTCTCGTGCGAGCAAGGAGCATCGCAAGGAAGTCCGCAATGGAGGCATTCCTCGTTAATTGTAAGCTCACTGAGGGCGAGAAATTCCCCGAGAGGAGCACAAGGATGGACATCCTTCAACAGCTCCTCGGACAGATTCCAATCGATCCACTCCGGATAAGCCGTCTCAATCACCAGGCTTTCTAGCGTGTCCCGGTGCTGGAGGAGACCATCCCAGGGGCCGGCGACGAATCCCTCGGGTCGCATACGACTCTGGCTGAAGTAAACATTCCACCGCTTCAGCTTTCTCGGCTGCTGCAGGATAGTTGCATGCTGCAGGATAGTTGCAATGTCCGATCCTGTCATCGTGGTTTCTGGCCACATGCCTGTAGTAATGCTCGATTCCTGTATGGGAGACTGACCCCTCCTAGTCCACAAAAGTTAATCGGCATAGCACAACTGACTTGGCAGCAGTTGCTCAACTCAGCCTCCGTACACGTAGCGAACCGCAGGATGCCATGGATAATTTCAAGAGGAAGGAAGGCCGGGTCACGCGTTTTGAGATGCTTGATAAGGCGCTTGTCAGGTAATTTCATTGTACTGGCGGAGCCGGATACATCCAACTCTGTTTCGATATTGGCGGGCATGACGCACTCTCGAGAGGGAAGTTGACAGTAAAACTGGAACCGTGGACACGAATCACATCGATAATGATACGAGTGACAGGTGGTGACGTCACGTGGTCCTTTGTTTCCCCACAAGTACCTACTCTATGGACCACACGGCAAAGGCAGCTTGCGGTGCAGCCTGGCCACGATCTCCGCATAGTCAGGCTCCTGTTCAGCAGTGAGTAGTCCATGACGAATCAGAAAGTCCAGCATGACAGCACCACTGCTAGGTTTAAACCGTCCCTCCAGCAGCGCCTGTTTCACCAACTCCACCCCCATGCGATGGAACTGCCAAATATCCTGGTCCACCGGTCGCAAAGCCTCTTCCTCTCCCATCTCCATATCATACACGAAGAGCACCCCGGGATTGATGAGTCCTACCGGTCCCGAGGCGCGTACATCACTAACATTCATCCAGGTCACGGTCCCCGCCGCGCGAGCGTCCGATTGCACCCGGGCCGCCGTCATGCCCGCTTCTTCCTCGGCCTCGCGGACCAGACACTGCCACGGCGTCTCTCCAATAGCCATCCCGCCCGCGACCGCGTTATCCAGGAGCCCCGGGTAGGTTTTCTTGTTGGGGTTGCGCTGCGGGATCCAGAACTGGTACCCTGCGACCGTACGCGTGTAGACCGTCATGTGCACCCCCTGCCCAATGATCCCCCACATGGAGAACTCGCTGCGATCAATGGCGACCGGGAACTGAGCCCCCACGATGGGAAACACCTCCCCGCGGGTCCGACCGAGCTCGGGGAAGACCCCGAGTTCGCGGGCACGGTTCATCTGGTGCGCCAGGACCTGTGTGCACTGGGCCTGCCAGTCCGGCCCCGCGGGACGGCGCAGGCGGACTTGCTTCTCCGGCTCGGTTATGATGTCGAAGTCGGGCGTCCAGGGCATGGCGTGGACGATGTCGTCGGTCAGGAGTCCGTGGGGTCGGTCATCGTCGGGGAGGTAGAACTTCCACAGCGTGCTTGTGCGGTTATCGTAGACGGGGTCTTCCGGGTAGGGAAAGCTAGTATGGGATGTGAGTAAGTGGTGATAGATGTAAGAGGACGACAAGGCGCTCACTTGTCGCAATCTTGAACGACTTGGAGGAAGTTTTCCATCGGCTTGGACATTGTGTTGTGCCGTGTTGTGTGTTGTGTCGTAAGATGAGGGAGGTGGAAACCAGAAGGAAGGAGGAAAACAGCCGGCGAGATAAGATAAGCGGGAGAAACCCTTTTCCATTCCGACAATCAACTGCGCCAGCAGCTGTCGATAACCAACTTTGAAGAATGTTTTGATATGATGTTAGACAGGATTCGTTTTTGTAGTTTTGTGTAAGCTGTGTATGTACGGAGCTCCGAGGTGCGACTCAGCCAACTGAATGGTAGATTAGTGTATGTGTATACTCTATCCGATGATTCACAGACTGCAGAATGTATATATCCTCAAGTCGGTCTCCACGTTTAGGATCGGACAGATGATCCGCATTACATTTGTTTTCTTCTGGACCAGTCAAGCAGTATCTCATCAGAACGGGAAATAGCTAGGCCTTTGAAAGAGAGAGAAAGCAGATTAGCAAGATTCGGCATCGTGATAGTGCAGGTCTTGACCATCAAGGAGATGCGCCGTCTTCTCTGCGCAAAATGGCACTAGACCTCAAGCAGCCTAGCTGATACTTACTCAGCTTGCCAAACCAACTTAACCACATCGAGCAAAGCTCCGCTGGGGCTGAGTCTAGGCTGAAACCGGTTAAAGCCCATGCAGACCGGTACCTTAAGTTCCAAGTTAGTTACTTCCTTTGCTGCTGACTGCTGGGAAGGATTCAAATAAGTACAGTACTAAGGTTTCTCACCACTACTCAACACAAGGCTTGCTTCCCTGGAGCTATATGAATCCGATTTTGAAAAGCACTTATTTTCATAATCATATTCAGATCAAAAGATTTGAGCTCAATGAAGTACTCTCCAACAAGAACCGCGGAACTCGACCGAGAAGTGGGTCTCCCACAACCCCTTTCTGGCTTTTTGTTTGAGGATGCCAATTCTACCCCAAACATCTCATCCCAGACAGTATGGCCGAGTGGTCTAAGGCGATAGACTAGAAATCTATTCTCTTCGGAGGCGTCGGTTCAAATCCGACTGCTGTCGTCTTTTTGCTCCGGGGCTCTCTGCCCCTGGCTATTTTGCAAAATCGCGTCAGTGGCGGCAATGAAATGCTTGGTGTGGCATGCGGACATGCACAGGGTTGGTGCCACGCGAGATACATCTCCTGTTCTCTGCTATCTATCACCTACTAGGCTCACTCCAGATGAGATCCAGCACAAGAGCATAAAAGATGCATTTCAACTTAGTACCATTTCCAACAATGGATATCTTGCATCACTGCAGTCACATTAGACACATCTATGGGTCCATTTCACTTCCGCTTGGACCGTTCGAGCAATGCTGTGGAACTCTTGACTTCGTTGTGCGAAAAGCAGATTCCCATAAATTTCACCATCTCCGCAGCTAATGACGTCGTGAGCAAAATGCCCCGTACCCTGGACGGACTGGCCTGGATCTTACCTGACATTCTCCGGGCCGTGGTGTCATTTTCATCCACGCCATTCATGCGTGTATAATCCAGGACGAGATTGACACGGGATCGACGGGCTTCCTCATACAATGCCAGACGGGCCGGAATGTCTTCCGTGCGAGTCCTGGCGGGTAGTAAGACTGCGAGGGAAACAGCATCCTCGATGGCCATGGCGCCACCCTGACCCATATCTGCTTGATTGTTAGCCTACTGTGGTCGTTCGTCCGGGGAGAGTCTCTGTCACGCACAAGGTTGGAAGGGATGGGCAGCATCTCCCAGCAATGCTGACCGACCTCTTACCCAGGTCGGGAGGGTCTTCATGTCGAAGAGCTCCCAGACTTTGAGGTTATCGTCGGCCCCATCCACGAGTTCCTTGACCGCGGGTCCAAAGCCGGAGAACCCGGAAGCAAGTGCATCTTTGCTTCCGACCGCTTGCCAGCCTACTTGCCCGGTCAGAATGTTGGATTTGCATCGAGTGTGGTGCTTACCTTCGCCAAGCCCACCCGCCTCGGCCGTAGGGAGGAACGCGCAGAGATTGAACACTTTGTTATTAGAGCAGGGATACGCGACCAGGCGTCGATCATCCCTTGCCCATTCGATAAAGACGCCAGGCTCCTGGACAATGTCTTTGGTCGCGGCCAAGTGGCGCAAGTCATCGGTGGACAGCAGCCAACGGAAGCAGGATTTGCCCGCCGGGAATGGAGCAGGTGGCTGTTGTCCTATCTCGTTGCGGACGATGGACTATCGCGCGGGTTAAAGTGTCTTCCTTTCGTGATTCAACTTCAGCCGGAATACGTACGTGAAGACCATCGGCCCCAAGCAGCAGATCGCCCTCAAACCGATCTCCATTGTCAAGTGTCACCGAAGGGCGCTCACTGTCCACGTCGATCCCGACAATCTTACAGCCCATGTGCAGAGTGGCTGTCTGCAAGGCTCGCTGCTTGAGATAATTGTGTAGGTCGACGCGGTGCACGAGGTACCATTCCTGAAGACTTAGCACCTTATACTCAAGTGACGATACTGGCCAACTCACTGCTTGCCACATGTGTCGAATGCCATCGAACTCCTTCTTATACTTCAGATCGCCTAGGTGATCATACCGATGAATCTAATCGACGACTCAGTCTTCATTCCGCTGTGCCACACCACAAAGCAAGCATCCTATGGCAGGTTCCAAACCTGTTCCAAGAGCGTGCCTCCGAAATCCCTGGGGTCGATGTCCAGCCAATTGAGCAAGGCAGTACAGTTGGGCGGCACATGGATCGCAGCGCCAGCCTCGCGCGAGAACTTGGACTTTTCCACAATCTGAGACGCTCAGCACATACACTCCATAAGATCTCGAGTATGTCATCAAGATATACACACCACGACATGATGCCCTTGTTTGCTCAGTGCAATGGCTGCAGTCAGGCCTGCAATCCCGGCCCCAACGATCAACACCTGCAACGGTCGGGGTTCTTGGCCTGTGACGGTCATTGTGATTTGTTGTCTTGTAAGCTGAGTGCTGATCTAAGCTCGCTTGACTGCCTCCTCTCGCGTCGACTTCCCAGGACATTTTAACCATGCATAGGTGAAGCGACCATTCCTCTCTCGGAGACTCGGACTCGGGGTATTTCCTCGGAGATAAGACGGGATCCGACGGATCAGAGTGGGCTCACGCAAGTACTGATTGTTATGATTATGAGTAGGAGTCTATCCACAAGGGTCGATAGAATATGTCGATCATTTCCCGGTGTTTCAGTGTGAGTTGGCAGGTTCAATGGGATTGCTATCTGGGCTTAGAGTGGAGAATGCGCCGGTTGCTGGACGGGGCGATTCGACGTGCAAGATGAGCCTCGCCAGGGTCCTTTTCTACCTATCCACCACACCGGTGAAGCCTGCAAAACCCCTCAGTATATCATACTATCCAACTACTGTACCGGTAAAGTGCATACTGACAGTCTAGTGTATATGGCTATCATGATGGTTGCTCCCTTCCGGGCCGGTCCGCCCGGAACAGTAAGACGAAAAAGGGGGTTATTTATCCGTCCCCTTCTTTGCCCCGCTCAACCTCCAATCTGTATCTGTCTTGACGGACTGATTCGACAACAAGGAGAGCAATTGTCCGGACTGCATGTTCTTACTATTACTCTAGTACGATTTACCGAGCAGAAGTAGGAGTAGAGGCCCACGCTTGCATTGTTCCACTATTCGACCGTTCAGCTTCTCCAATACTTGGCCCACTTGCTCTGTCCCTTGACCACATTCACAAACTCCCGCGCAATGATGCGATCCGTCTGCTCGGACGGATGGAGGTCGTTCCACCACATATAGCTGTCCCGGACCGCACTCGAGCTGCAGGCGGAGCCACACCGATAGATCGAGCTGGTGACGTTGAGCGGCGCAGTGCCGTTCAGGTACTGGGACGGGTTCTCCCAGATATCCGTCGTCTGCGTGATATATCAGCCTGCCTGCAATCACTTCCAAAACTCAGCCATCCTTACCAAAGCATGCGTGTCATAGAGCGCAAAGCTACTCTGCGGATACCGTTGGGCGATCTGCACCTCGTACGGCGTCTGATAGTTGAACACCGCGTTCACCAGCGTCGAGTACTGGCGCATCTTCTCGCTCGACTGCGTGATGTTCGGGTCGTACGTGGACTTGTCCGTCCAGTACTCCCCCGTGGGGAGGCCCCCGTTCTGCGGGGTGGCGTATTCCGGGGCCAGCTCGAGGGCGACGAGGTTCATCAGGACGAAGTTGCGGGCGCCGGCGGCGTGCAGTCGATCGAGCTGGGTATACACGCAGTCGGTGAAGTAGGTCAATGCCATGCCGGCGGGCTGCTCCTCGGTGAGAAAGCTGCCGGGCCCCAGGTCGTTGGTGCCAATCCAGATCGCGTAGACGGTCTCGGCGGGTCGGTTGATGAGGGCGGTCTGGCCGGTGGTCTTGTTGACATACTCATTGTCGGCGAGGAACTTGGGGAGCTGGTCCTGTTTCACCCCGTTGCGCGAGGTGTCGGCCTCCACGGAGTCGCAGACCGCGCCTGCCACGGCGTAGTCGTAGAGGTTGATCCCCGTGTACTGCTGGACGTAACTCGGCCATGCGCGGCCTCCGTCCCATTCGTCGGTTGACTGTTTGTGTTGTTGATTGTGAGTGGTTGTCTTTGGGCTGCGGTGGTTGTGGAGAAGCCAAATTCATACCTGCGCTGCCACCGGTGGGGTGTACGAATAGACGCCGTCATCGGTGTAGCTGTCACCGAAGATCACCAGCGAAGAGAACTTCTTCAACAGGGCCTGTGATCGCCGCGCCGGTGCGCAGACTGCACGGCTGGTGGTCAGGGCCAGAACGAGCACTCCAAGCGCAGACTTCATCGTGATGGATAGGTGTCAGTGTTTCGGGTGTGAGGTTTTCGGGGAAGTATGTCTCATGGTAGACAGGGCATCCCCGGGTAGTATTTCAACCGACCAAAACCCGCAACAGCACTTTTCCCGGACATTGATGCGGGGGAGAGTCATAACCCTTGGTATCTATGGTTGGTGGAGATTCTCGTGAGGCGGTCTAACACTCATGCAGGGGATGTATTAGGCAGGTTCGGATAGGCTGATTGAGAGAGAGACTGGCATGATGTCAGTGCAGAACTCCTCCTCGCGTACAGGCCGTGCCCTAACGACGGTCTTTAGATTGCGGGGTAATTGGATTTAGCCGGACCACCAAATACAGTACCCAGTGTGGTCAACCTAAGCATCTTGCAGCATGTCTCCGGCAATTCGCAATTGGTGGGATTTTGCCCTTGCATAGGTGGTATCGCCTGCCAGGAGATTGTAACATGGTGCAATATTCGTATGCGGCCATTCTGCATTGTGCAGCAATTCCGAGGGTCGAAAAGCGGAAACTCTCCCAAGTCGACTGCAGCACTGTCACCGCATTGACTGCCAGCATCAAGGTAACATAGCCCATCATGCTCAGGATTGCCCTTCTCTACTTTACTCTTCATATCATACACGCAGTGGTGGCCTGGCAAGTCCCCGCCGAGTACGCTATTACGCCCTCACCGGACGGCCGCTTCCTGCAGCAGGCCAACGGCAAGCCATTCTTCTGGCAGGCCGACACCGCGTGGCTGTTATTCCACCGACTCAACTACAGCGAGGCGGAGACCTACCTGTCCGACCGCGCACGCAAGGGATTCACGGTCGTTCTCGCTGTCGGCTTCACCCAGGAAGGGATCACCAGCCCCAACCGCAACGGGGATCTGACCTTCATCGACGAAGATGTGACGCGGCCGAACGAGGCGTACTGGGCCTATATCGACTCGATCGTCGCACTGGCATGGAGCAAAGGCATCCGCATCTGTCTGGTGCCCGCGTGGGGGAAGTTCGTGCATGGAAGCGACAACTCCGCCAGCGTTCTCAATTTAACGACAGCAGTCCTTTTCGGCCACTTTATCGGCCAGCGATACCCCTACCTCCCCAAGACCCTCGTGGCCGACACCAACCCCTACTGGCAGAACAAGACTGCTGTCAAGGCGGACTACCTCCGAGGAGGAGTCCCCCCGACCTATGAAGTGGTGGATTGGTCGCCCGTCTACGATGCATTAGCCGAGGGGATCGTGGCCGGCGAGCGACAAGCTATCTCAACATCATCATCATCCTCGGCAGCAGACAAGTGGCAACCCCTGATGACCATCCACCCCACCAACCAATGGTTCACAGGCGGTCCCATCGCCCTGGCGCACGCCTTCTTCGGGAGCCGCAGCTGGCTCACGCTGGACAGCAGCCAGTCCGGCCATACGGACTACGCGCCCAACCCTCCGATCCCGTGGTGGAACTGCCGGCGGGGCTGGGAGCCCGTCGAGCGCATGTATGCGGCGGGGAACTCCTCTACGCAACCTTCTGGCGGCAGCAAACCGCGTCCGGTCCTCGACAATGAGGCGCACTACGAGCACCGGTACAATGACGGGAATCCCGATTCGTTCTATTGGAATGCCAGCGACGTGCGCATCGGGAGCTGGCAGGCGGTTAGTATTCCCTATTCCTGTTAAATAAAGATACTGACCGCGGGACAGGTCTTCTCCGGCGCCGCAGGCCTGACCTACGGTGCCAACGCCGTGCAACAAATCGCCATCCCCGGATTATACGCCTCGGATGGGAGCGGACCGGGCGACGACTGGGAGCAGGACCTCGTGCTCCCGGGGTCCAGTCAGATGCAGTGGATCCAGAAGGTGGTGATGGATCGGGGCCAGGACAGCTATTTCCGACGCGTGCCGGCGCAGGATCTGCTGGTCGGGGATGTGGGAGGGGACGATGCCAGGGTCACCGCAACCAGAGATCGTGGCGGGGATTGGATCTTGGTGTATACGCCCACGGGCCAGGAGTTCCGGGTTGATACCGGGGGGTTGAGCTCGTGTCCAGTGCGGGCAAGTTGGTTTGATCCGTTAAATGGGACGTATACCTCGTTGGAGTACGCACAGTGCGGGCAGGGCTCGGTGCGAACGTTTACACCGCCGGTTGGGCAGGGGCATGTGGATTGGGTTCTGGTGTTGGAGGTGGTTTGATTGCGATGATGATTTTAGGTGGTGCTTGATGAGCCTCTCGAAGTGCAGAGACATGTCTTGTATCTGTCAAAGCATGCTACTTGATGGCGGAAGATAGATTGTGAATATTAAGCGTCCACCTTCTTACATCATTGTGTGCCAGCACAATATATAACCTATGCTGTATACTCCAGGACCCCATAGAGCGCGCACGAAAGCACTGACCCTTGTACTGCCCTCCGACCAGCAGCTCCTCATCCAAAACCAATAGTACCTGCACCATTGACCCAACTATTGCAGTTGGAATCCACGTGGCCGATTGCGGAGAGTAAACCTTGGGTGGTGGACTGGTGGTGCTTGCCACTGCACATCGAATGCACTGCCCAAAAATCGAACCTCGGTTTGGATGCTGACAAACCACGGATTCAGCGAGAAAAGCCTGACTGCTGAGTCATTCTGCCGCGCGACGCGTCGACCGCCTTTTGTGCCCACTCTGCCTCGGTGCGGTGGGGTCCGATTGGCTTGCGCTGTGGCGTGTGTGGCGCATCTTTGCTCCAGGGGGCAAAACCATGGAAATGAGGGGGATCTATGAATAGCCTGCTAAGACATGTCTCTGAGATGACCTCAATAGCACCGTTCAAGGTTTGTCCGCCCCGTCTGGCTTACGTAGAACTACCCAGTTTGAATATTGAGTAAGCAGTAGTTTTAGATCGGGTTGCTAGTGTTGATGGACCTGTGTCTACTGCGTATAGCCTCGCTGGCTCCATGACCACGGAAAATGTATTGTAGCATTCAGCAGGTATAAACAAACCAATGCCCTCAAATTGAGCCCGGGGTCGCGCTGAGATTCCTGTAATTTAAGCACCGCCTCGACACGGCAGCCCTCCGTCGCCCGTCGCCCGACATGCCCGGCGTGCACGTGACCCTCCGGGTCCATGCATCTCCCCTCCCCTGATCTAGTGTCAATAGTGGCCGACCATTGTTCATCTACCGATGCTAATAATATGCGTCGAAGATGGAGGTCTAGATGGGTGGTAGTCCGGAGGGGGACTTTATTTAGCACAGGCGACGATGCGATGCGATAACTGTACTGCTCACCACGCGACACGCGACGACGATCAAGACGAGCAAGAGGAAAGATGCACGACTCGACCGTCAGGTTATTCTACGGTTGACGTCAGCCATGAGCAACCCGGCCGACTTGCCTTGGACTCGTCTTGAGGGTGAGTTAACTAAGTGTAAGTCAGGGGAGTGATCGATCATCGGAGCGGGTAAGACGCCTGCCAGCTGGAGGTAAAGATCGCCGGTGGTGGGCAAGCCTCCGTGCGTTGTTGGCGTTCCAGAATTAGACCCAGCGAAATTGGACGGTACCTGCAGCCTGCAGCAGGAAGGTTGTGCTGACGGGGGGGTTTGATGACTTGTACTCGAGTAACTAGTCAGGGGAAACGAAGTGACAGGAGAGATGTGCGACCGGGAGATGTACAGTACAGTAGTAAAAAAAAAAGATTCGAGAACACAGTGAAGAACCCCTGGAGAATGGACCAGATCCGTTGGTGCGATCATGAATTAATTAATTTAATTAATCTTCAATTGATCAGGGGCAGACGAGACAGACAGACAGAAAAGAGAGAGAGCAAAGAGAGAGCGATGAGAGAGAGAGAGAGACATGGATGGACAGCAGGAGGGTCGTCATCTCCGGACCACTGGGCACCAAGTCAGCCAACCCTCATTTGCGGCTGTGGCTCCACGGGGGAGACTTGTCACTCAGTCTTGGGAGGGACTGATTATTGGACAGGCAAATCCACTGGGATCCACCGGCAATGAAGATTCCAGGGCCAACAGGCACAATTAATCCCTCATTGGATGCGCAGGGTGCTATTCTCAGTGGTGGGTGGCCCCGTTGGAGCGGGACTAGGGTTGCTGTTAGGCCTTTCACTTGTTGCCAGTCTTACTGAGGGCTCCGTTCTAGACCCAAGCAATTCATTCACAATCATCCACCCACGGGCATTGCTTTCTCCCGCTCTTTGTCGTTGCCGTTGGCCCTTTTATCTGTCTGTCCCTGCCCTTCTTTTGCAACTCTCTCCATCTCCCCATCTCTCCATCCCCCATTCTCTTCCCCTCCCTCTCTCTATCTCATTCTTTGAACGTGGACTTGTCATTCTTTTCCAACTCCCGTTCCTTGCATTCACTCACTCTTTACGACTTTAACTCACCTTCGTCAATCTCTATCACACCACACCACCACCACCACCACCACCACCACCACCATCACAATGCACTACAACACTTTGGCTGCCATGGCCCTTGCGGCCTCTACTGCCGAGGCTGTCTCCCAGGGTTTCAACTACGGCAACAAGAAGGCCGATGAGAGCTCCATGTTCCAGGCCGACTTCGAGGCCTCCTTCAAGACCGCTAAGGGTCTGGTTGGCACTGACGGTGGCTTCACCAGCGCTCGTCTCTACACCATGATCGTAGGTATACTCCTGCTTGACTTGCAAGGGACCAGACTAACCCCACTTCCCCGCCACAGCAAGCCTACAGCACCAACACCCCCATTGAGGCCATCCCTGCTGCCATCGCCCAAGACACCTCGCTCCTCCTCGGTCTGTGGACCTCCGGTGGTGGCATGGCCAACGAGCTCGCTGCCCTCAAGTCCGCCATCTCCCAGTACGGTGAGGACTTCACCAAGCTCGTTGTCGGTATCTCCGTCGGCAGTGAGGATCTCTACCGCAACTCCGTCGAGGGTGTTGAGGCCTCCGCCGGGGTCGGTGTCAACCCCGACGAGCTCGTCGAGTACATCCAGCAGGTCCGTGACTTGATCGCCGGCACCGGACTGGCTGATGTTCCCATCGGCCACGTCGACACCTGGGACTCCTGGACCAACACCTCCAACGCGGCTGTCATTGAGGCCGTCGACTGGCTCGGTTTCGACGGCTACCCCTTCTGGCAGTCGACCTTTGAGAACGACATCAGCAACGCCAAGCAGCTCTTCCTCGATTCGTGGGAGAAGACCAAGGCCGTTGCCGGCAGCAAGGAGGTCTGGATGACCGAGACCGGATGGCCCGTCAGCGGTGACTCTGAGGGCGATGCGGTCGCCAATGCCGCCAACGCCAAGATCTACTGGGATGAGGTGGGTTGCCCTCTGTTCGGCAACACCAACACCTGGTGGTACATCCTCCAGGACACCGACGGTGCCACCCCCAACCCCAGCTTCGGCGTTGTTGGTAGCACCCTGAGCACCACTCCTCTGTACGACCTGTCTTGCAAGAACTCCACTTCTTCCGCCACCTCCACTGCTTCTTCGTCTTCTGCCTCTGCCACCGGTCTTTCTGGTAAGACTACTGGCTCTTCCAGCTCCGGCTCTGGTTCCAGCTCCGGCTCCTCTGCTTCTGGCTCCGGCTCTTCCGGCTCTGGCTCCGGCTCCGGCTCTTCTGGCTCCGGCTCTGGCGCTTCTGCTTCCGGCTCTGGCTCCGGCTCCGGCTCTTCTGGCTCCGGCTCTGGCGCTTCTGCTTCCGGCTCTGGCTCCGGCTCTGGCTCTGGCTCCGGCTCCGGCTCCGTCTCTGGCAGCTGGGGTGGCCGCAACGGCACCTGGGGCAGCCACGGCAACGGCACTTACCCCGGCTTCCGCCCCTCCGCCAGCTCCGGTCTGACCCCCTCCGCCAGCGCTGCTGCTGGTAGCTCCGGCTCCTCCAGCTCCAGCTCCGGCTCTGGCTCTGGCTCCAGCACCGGCACCTCCGCTGCCGCCGCCTCTTCCTCCGGCCTCTTCACTGGTGGCTCCGGCCGTGTCCTCCCCGGCTCTCTCCTCGGGGCCGTCGTCGGCATCCTCGCCCTGGCTGTCTTGTAAATTTAGCTCCGCGATGAAGGAATGAGGGGGGTTGTTCGCCGCAGTATAGACCGTTTTTCTCTTCGTGTACACTTTTAGGACGTTCGTTTAATTCAATGATGCCGGTTGTATGTCGACGGTCTCAAGTATAGTACAATCCACGCACGAATTGATCATCAAGCATTATTTGGCTGAATCACTAGTAAATAGAAATGCGTCTAGCTGGACTATGAGTCTTCACACAGCTCTACTTACAGATACAAACACCACCGAAACCGAATCACGACTCCGTGTTCTTCCCCTTCAGACTCCCCTGTAAACAGCCCACCACATCCTCCACCGTCTTCCCGCGCTGTCGCAACGCCCCGGCCTTCTGCTTCTCCAGCCCCAGCACCGGATCGTCGGCAACCGCCTGATACACCTCCGCGATTCCATTATACCTGTTACAGTCAGCACACCTATCCCCCCCGGCTTTGCATCCAACACACCAGATGGGGAAACATACACATCCGGCCCAAACCCGGCCCCCTCCTCCATCGTGCGCCCGATCTCCCGCATCTCCTCCACCCACCGATACGCCTTGGAGGGCATCCCCACCACCCCGCGCTCCGCCATCCCCAGCGCCGCAGGCTTATACTCGCCGAGCAGCCCGCGCAACTCGGACAGCACCCCGAACCCCTCCGCGGCGGTGAAGGACTCGATCGCCAGCGCGGTGAACCCCTTCGTCAGGGCGGCGAAGCACATCTTCAGCGCCGCGGCGGTGCCGATCTCGGCCGAGACGTGTCGCATGTTCAGGACGGTGGTGAGCGGGGCGTCCGGCAGGGGACCGGGGCCGGAGACCACCAGGGCGGGTTTTTTCCACTCTCCTTCCCTCTGATCCTCGGGTTCAGGCTCGTGGGTGCCACCGTTGGCTTGGTTATGGCCATGGTGTGCATGGTGTGTATGCTTGGTGAAATGCGGCGGGGATCCGATGATCCCCCCCGACAGGAAGCGGAGATCGTCCGGTCGGGCGGTGGTGCGGAAGAGCTGGGCTAAATCCCGGGCCGTGGCGGGGGACACGGCGTTGAGGTCGAGGATGTACAAGGGGCTGTCGCGGACGAGGTGTCGCGCTGTGGCGGCGGCGATGATGCGCTCGGCGGTGGGGAGGGCCTCGGCGGGCGGGACGATGGAGAGGAGCACGTCGCTTTCGTCGATGAGGTTCTGGAGGGAGGGCCGGAGTTCGATATCGGCCAGCCAGGCGCGGTGTTGGGTGGATTCACTGTTTCTGGAGATGAGATGCGGAGCGGGGGGCGGGGGTTGTTTATGGACTGTACTCTACCTCCGGTCGGCGGCGTAGGTTAGCACGCGATATTTGTGGGCGCGGAGGAGCTGGGCGATGCCAAAGCCCATCTCTCCGATGGAGAGGATGCCGATTGCTTCGAAGGGCATGGTGGGTTGGTTTGTTGGTGGATGCGGAGGATGAGGTTGAGGTGATGATGAAGGTGAGATTGGAGGTGAGATGAAGCGGGGATGGTGGGGGACTCGGGAATGTGAATGTGATTGCGAATGTGATGAGAAGGATTACAGGATCAGCATGGGTTGAACACGGCTACTGCAGGGTTGCTCGTCCTAGCACTTCGATGGCTTATATACTACGGTCTGTCTGTATGTTCTGCTCTGTAGATAAATTCTACGGTGGAAGCAGGCCCAAGATAGTCAGACAACTCTTCGTCATCGTCCCCGAGAGGGTGCAATGGGCTGACACCCCTACGTATCTACATACATTGTACTGATTGTACGTACTGTATCATGATGTGCCCTCGGCCATCGGCCTGCTTCCTCGCCGGTCGGCATCGGCTTACTCTGCCACGGTCGGGTTTGCCTGTTGCATGACCGATCTCCATATCCTGACCCGGTGATGGTCAGTTCGATTATTCGGACCGGATTCCTCGTCCGAGAGACAAGAGACTGCGTGGTTTGCCGATGGGGTGGTGTTGAAGGTCGAGTTAGGGCAATTGAGTCGGGCCGACGGGAGAAATGGAAGTATGTGTACAAGGTAGGTAGCATAATAGTACACTGTACATAACTTGCTACTTATGTAGGTCCAGCCACCCCAAGTCCAATTTGATACGAAGTTTACTGTTTAGTATACTTCGATGCACACTAACTAACTTCCAGATCTCCACACTAAGTGCCGAGTCTGAAGGTCAGCCGAAGTCCCTGGATCGTCGGTCCCTTTTTGAGCAAGTCGACGATCCTCAAGCTGCCTCTGCTGCTTCGCTCTGTCGATCGGGAGATCATTGCACGGCCTAGCTGTAGGTTTCAACTTGGTGTGTCTCTTGCTTCTCTGCGGTGTCTGACCGACTGACCCTGGAGCAGTATGCATTTCTACACAGCAGGGTGTACAGTACACAAGTCCCTTCAGGCATCTATCTTCATGCCCAAAGCTACCACCACATCCCGTTATCCACGGGGACTGCAGTGGCAACCGCTTATCGACCAATGCCTCTGTTCAGGAAACCAGTTTCCGATGGATCCAGCCCTTTGACTGATTTAAAGTCTCGTGTGTCCCAGGGCCCGTGGAGCCAACCGTGGGTGGAGGGATCCACCGGGTCTGGCGACGCGCAAACCACCGCAAGGGATCGATGCTTAGCTCTGCAAATTTCGAACCCTTAGCGTCACGGTGGCCACCATCAAAAAAGAATGAGCAATCCAGCTGTACAGCTGCGCAATGTCTCCGGACAATCTTTTCCGGAGCTCCCCCAACACCTAAACACCTATAAAACCCTCCTTGCTCCAACAGCCCTCCCCAAAATGACGGTGAAGTGACAATCCACGCCAATCCTCCTCATCCTCCACCATGCCACCTCCATATCCCACCCCCGATCATTCGCAACCCCCAAGTCCAGTCGAGGATAAGCCTGTGTCTGGACTGTCATCGGCCGCCATGTCGCGCCGCACCTCTTTCTCTGATTACCAACCCGGCGTGGGGAGCAGTCGCTTTGCATCCACTCCGGCCACGGGGGCACAAACCCCGGATCCTCTGCTGGGACCCAAAGTCGCCGTCCCCGCCGATGTGCTGAAGAAATTCCCTCAGACAATCGCCCGATCCCGTGAGGACAGCAGCGACGATGACGAGGAAGCGATCGAGCTGTCGGCCACGGGGCCCCGGTTCCGTCGTCCCTCTGCGGCCGTTCACCCGAGCGACAATGTCTATGCCGACGAGGCGGGCTCACCACCCCCCGAGGCCACCAAGGCCGCTCGACAGGGGGTCCCTCCGGAGTTGTCCAGCTTCGGCGCCGAGCTTCTGTTGATTGCCGTCTGTTCCGTGGGCCTGATGCTCTTCTCCTTCCTCCTCGGCGACATGCTGGCCCCGCAGATCCAGATCCGAGCCGCCCTGGGCATCAGCAACACCGAACTGCCCTGGCTGGTGGGCGCCTTCAACGTGGCCAACGGCCTCTCCGTCGTTGTCTCCGGCTCATTGACGGATCTCACGCCTCCTCGACCGCTGATGGTGGGGGCATTTGGCTGGCTCACCTTGTGGAACCTGATTGGGGCCTTCTCGCTGTCCCCCTCGCGCCGCATCCTCTTCTTCATAGTGCGCGCCATGCAGGGTCTGGCCATTGGCGTGCTGGTGTCCGGGAGCATGAGCATTCTTGGCCGGGTGTACAAGCCAGGCATCCGCAAGAACCGCGTCTTCAGCGCCATGGCCGCCTGTGCGCCTTTCGGGTTCTCCCTTGGAGCCATCCAGGGGGGTCTTCTGTTCCACCACCTCCCGTGGATCTTCGGCTCCAACGCCATCATCACTGGACTGTGTGCCGTGGCGGCCTTTTTCGCCATCCCCCCGCTGCGGCCCGTGGCCGACGTGGCCGGTACTGAGGCCCCCTCCATCAAGCAATTCGACTACCTGGGGGCGGCCTTCGCCGTGGGCGGTTGCGTGTGCCTTCTCTTCGGCCTGACGCAGGGCGGAGTGACCAATTGGTCCCCGTACACGATCGCCCTGACGGTCGTCGGCATTGTGCTGCTGGTGGGGCTGTTCGTCACGGAACGCTACGTGGTGCGACCTCTCATCCCCAACCGGCTGTGGAGCACGAAGGGCTTCACCCCGCTGATGATCGCCTACTTCCTGGGGTTCGGCTCGTTCTTCGGCTGCTGGCAGTTCTACGCGATCCAGTTCTGGCTGCGCATCCAGCACGCGACGCCCGTCGCCGTGGCGCTGTACCACATCCCCAACGCCCTGGTCGGGGTGTTTGCGACCTGGGTTGTCAGCCGCACCTTGCACCTGGTCCCGGGCCACTACATCTACACCATCTCCATGTTCGCCTTTACGCTGGGTCCGGCCTTCTTCCTCCCGCAAACCGCCAACACTATCTACTGGGCGCTCTCCTTTCCCGGAATCGCCCTGGTGACCTTTGGCCCCGATCTCGCCTTCGCCGCCGCCTCCATTTTCATCACGAGCAACGTGGCGCGCTCGTACCAGGGCAGCGCGGGCAGTCTGCTGGTGACGAACCAGAACCTCAGCTCGGCGATTCTGACCAGTGTGGCGGATGCGATCGGCACGCGCGTCGACAAGACCCCGGACGGGGATGTCGGGCTGCAGGGACTGCGGGCCATCTGGTGGTTTGCGCTGGGGTGTCAGCTGGTGGCGGCGTTGATCACCGTGACGTGCGTGCGCATTCCTAAGGAGGAGGAGAAGGAGCATGTTACTTGAGTCTTTTCCCTCCATTACAAGGGACATTGATGATAATGAAGTGGTTAGAATAGATGATTGGGTTAGATGGGGAAAAGTATATAGATTGCATGTTTTCTTATGAGCTATGATAATGATAAATAATACTGGAAGGCATTGGTACATTTAACCATGATGCTATCCTCTCCGACGATGTTGTCATCTTATCGCGGATCTTGATCCGGCGGGGTAATTGCATTGCCGGGTCATAAATAACCCCTCAGTTTCCCCTCACCGATGGTGTCATCACACCTCGCTTTCACCAACAACACATCCCGGACTCTACTTACTGTGTGTATTCCACCTACAAGACACAATCAAAATGTCCGACAAGTCCGACAAATCCAACATCCTCATCTTCGGCGCTACCGGGGCCATCGGCTCGTACATCACACAGGCCCTGCTCGACGACCGCGCCCACTTCGGCCGCTTCGCCATCTTCACCAGCCCGCAGTCCCTGCAGACCAAGACCGAGGTGCTGGACAAGCTGCGCCGCCAGGGGGTCGATATCCTGGTGGGCGATTTGGCGAATGCGGACGATGTGCGCAAGGCTTATGCCGGTATTACATTACCCTTGCCCTTTCCTGTAGACTATGCTATACTACACAGCACTATGCCCTTCTACACACCCGCCTGATCGAACCCCCCACCACCCACTCCATCACCCACCAAAACTAATGAATTTACAGGATACGACACCGTCGTCTCCGCCCTCGGCCGCACCGCCATCGCCGCCCAGATCCCGCTCATCCACCTGGCCGCCGAATCCGAGACGGTCCGCCGCTTCCTCCCCTCCGAGTACGGCACGGACATCGAGTACGGCCCCGCCTCGAAGGACGAGAAGCCGCACCAGCAGAAGCTGAAGGTGCGGGCGGCACTGGCCCCGCTGCGCGACCGCCTCGAGTACGCCTACATCGTCACGGGCCCGTACCCGGATTATCCGTTCTACCTGGCCGCGGCGGGGTCGGAGGAGGCGGCGAAGGCGGGGGCGTGGGATGTGAAGGCGCGGAAGGCGGTGGTGGCCGGCGACGGGGAGGGGAGGGTCAGTTTCAGCGCGCGGGTGGAGTGAGTTTCTTCCTTCCAGGGGATGGGTCGATACAATTCGACCGTCCTCGATGGGCGTCATGGCCCTATCGTACCGGGTTGTGGCTGGATGGCTGACGCGCACATGCACAGTGTCGGGCGCTTCGTCGCCCACGCGCTCACCCACTGGGACCAGGCGCGGTACCGCGCCCTCAAGCTCAACTCCTTCACCACCACCCCGCACGAGATCCTGCGCGAGTTCGAGTTCCAGACCGGCCAGAAGTGGGAGGTCGAGTACACCTCGCTGGACGAGCTGCGGCGGCTCGAGGCCCAGGCGTGGGAGCAGGGCGCCCCCCATGCAACGACCTTCACCCTGCGGCGCATCTGGGCCGAGGGAGGCACCCTGTATGAGCGCCGGGACAATGAGGATATCGGGGTCGTGGCGACGCAGTCGTTGCAGGAGCTGGTGCGGGATTCGATCCATCGGCAGTTGGAGTAGTCGGTTGGCTGGGACGGGGCGGGTGGTTGTTCTAGATGGTTCGGGTCAGTTGTGAGAGCAGGTTGTATGATACTTCTGGCTGAAGCGGTTGCTGCCATCTGGGTTAGTTGGAAAAGCAGGTTGTATAATGCTTCTGAGTACGGTAGTGCTGCGCTGTGTGGATGCATCATGTACCCTTTTGACAGATTCTGTATGCAATTGTGGTTGAGATTACAGCACGCCAATTATAGTGAAGGCAGCGCGGCGAACAGGTTGTGTGTAAACTGTGCACAAGCAGATACGAAGAGTATTTCTGAAGAATGTCACCCTTTGCATGATAGCTCGCTCTATATGAAGTGTAAGCATGAGTTACGTTAGACTCTGGCGGCTCTAGCAATGCCCATGTCAGCCCAGACATTACTTAATATCCCCTGGCATTGGTGCAGAGAAGGTTTGTGTCTAGGTCTAATTCTCTTGCAGCGGCGAGTTGCAATACTGAGATGTGTTCCTGGGTTGGTCAGTCCCAGTCCACCCGACATCAAGCTTCGTCTTCGCCGTATCCATCGGCTCAAGCACCCACTACCGACCAGTTTGAAGCAGACCACAGCCTGTCATTGCCGATCGATCTCCGCCCCTCCCTAGGTTCGGCTGTCAGATGCTGACGACGATCCGGATCTGGTTCGCCTTCGGGCTGAAGAACCACCTCCTGGCTCCGATGTAGGAGCTGCCACGAGCCGACTGGCACCACCACGTGGTCGCTACCCACGGGATGTACCCGCGGGTGAAGATTCTGTCGTGTGGAGATTGCGATGCAGGCGAGATGGCGACGGTGCGCCAGTTTCCAGGTTGCTGCAGGTCAGCACCCAGCAGTTTTGGGTTATGATGGCAGATCCTAAGGATGCTGAGATGGCTGCAATGATTATCATCCTCTCCGGGTACCTCAATCCACTTGTATGAGATGAATGGTTGTGAGAGGTGAAAGTAAACAAGATAAAGAATACAGCGTACGGTGCCCGTCGCGGCGGGTTGATTCCCGCGGGAACGGTGACAGACAGGCTGACCGTCGGCTAAACGAGCCACTTGGTGGAGAGCTCATCCCTACGACAGCACCACTCGACCATTTGCGTTGAGATGGTGATTTCCACAGCCTTCTAGAGTGCTGAAGCCCTGGAGTCTGGAGCACGCAGCTGTTTGTCAGCTTGAGTCAGAGTGCCCGGCCGATATAGGAGGCGGGAGTCACGCCGCATGAGTCATTTCGAGTCAGCCCTGCAATCAAGCTACGTGAGACTATGCAATATGCTTGTTTTTAGCTTTTCACCGGACAATGAGCCGCAGACAGCGCTAGGCGTGAGTGCTCCTGATCCCGAGATGCTGTATGGAGGAACATCTGGTGGCCAGTGGCCTTTCCCCGGCCGACTGGGATAGAGAATCGGGGGGGGCGAGACCGGCCCTCGGAGACCCGGAGTACTGCCGCCCAGCCCCGGGATCGATGCCGCTAAGCCGGACGGGGACTAGTGCATGGCGGCCGACTCGGAAGCGGCACGAGGAGACTAAGCCTGTTTGGGGACGGTCGGTAGGGCAGCGCCACCGGCAGCCCTATTCCGTCCTCTGACTGGTTTCTTGCCTTTGACCAGTTGCCACCCGGGGCCCGCCTGGCCTGATGCGGTGGTTGAATTTTCCAGTTTTGCAGTTTTGCCTTTTTGCCTCCATGCAGAGTCTGGTATGGTCCCGGATTCCCCCAGACACCTTATTTGCTTCCCCCGGCTAAACTATCGTCATGCAACATTGGCGGCAGCATGTTCGTCGCCAGATGCACGATCCGTTTGACCAGCTAGCGGAAATAGTAATGAATACTCAGTGACTATTCAGTTTCACCGAAGAATCGTAGAAAATTCGACCACTCCACTCTTATGCTCGTTGTTCCTGGAGGAGTGGGCCATGAGGCATTGAAAACGTCGCACCAGCCCGGGCAGCAGGCCGACATCGGGGAGAGAGGCAAACGGCGGCCAGCAAAGTTTGTGTCACGCCCGCAGAAATTGCACTCCCCGAGGCTGGGATTGGCTGGGATTGGCTGGTCGCCCCGAACTATTAACTAACAAAAACCACCTGCCCAGACGTCCATGCTTCACCTCGCTGGCTTTTGGCTGCAGTATAATAACGAAATGCCCAAGGCCCGATTCTTTTGATCTCTTCATAGCTTCCTGTCCATTTTGTTCTTCCTTCCTTTTGACGCTTTCCTCTCCCTTTCTCTCCCTCCCCTTCCCTCCTCTCCTCTCCTCCCCTCTTCTCCCCCTCCTTCTACTTCCCCCACGGTGTCAATTTCCAACCCCCTCCCCCAGGAAATTCACCATGTCGTCACCGGAAGTGAAAGACATCGAGTATGGCTCGGGTGTCCCATCGGACCCGGAGGCCTGGGATACCGACCTCAAGGCTCCCGCCGAGGAGCAAGACCCCTTCGGCGCGGAGCATGGTGAGGTTCAATATAAGACTTTGGATTGGTGGTAAGTACACTGTCTATTCAATACTCAAATGCATTGATACTAATATCTTGCTTGATAGGCAATCTGGCTTCTGTATGTGATGTGACATTGGTGATACCATACTAGACCGTCCCGCATATTCTAACCCACCTTTAGTGATGATTGCCGAGACTGTCTCCTTGGGTGTCTTGTCTCTGCCCTCGACTGTCGCTACTGTCGGCCTGATCCCTGCTATCATCCTCATTGTCGGCCTGGGCGTGGTGGCCACCTACTCCGGCTATGTCATCGGTCAATTCCGGGCGCGATATCCCTTCATCCACAGCATGGCCGACGCCGGCGAGGTCCTGATGGGGAAACCCGGTCGCATCTTCATCGAGGTTGCCCAGCTGCTCTTCTTCATGTTCGCCTCCGGTAGTCACCTGGTCACCTTCACGGTCATGATGAACACCCTCACCAATCACGGCACCTGCTCCGTGGTCTTTGGCGTGGTCGGCCTGGTTCTCTCCTTCATCTGCTCGCTGCCCCGCACCATGAAGAACGTCTCCTGGTTCGCCATTGCCTGTACGTTTCCAATGCCTCCTCTGCTCCATCACAACCATTCTAACAATGCACAGGCTTCATCAGTATCTTCTCTGCAGTGCTCATCACCATGATCGGCGTGGGCGTGGAACACCCCTCCACCGAACCAATGCAACTGACCCGTAAGACGAGCTTCGTGAACGGCTTTTCCGCCGTGACCAACATTGGCTTCGCCTACTGCGGCCACCCGGCCTTCTTCGGATTCATCGCCGAGATGAAGAACCCCAAGGACTTCCCCAAGTCGCTGTGCATGCTGCAGGCGTTTGAGATCGTGCTCTACACCGTCGCCTCCGCCGTCATCTACCGCTACGCCGGCCAGGACGTCAAGTCGCCCGCCCTGGGCTCCGCCGGCCCCGTTGTTCGCAAGGTCGCTTACGGTGTCGCCATCCCGACCATTGTCGTCGCCGGTGTGGTCCTGGGCCACGTCGCCATCAAGAACGTCTACGTCCGACTGTTCCGCGGCACGGATGTCATGCACAAGCGCAGTGTCAAGGGAATCGGCGCCTGGATCGGTCTGGCTGCTGGCTACTGGATCATCGCCTGGGTCATCGCCGAGGCTATCCCCGTGTTCAGCAACCTCGTCAGCTTGGTTGTATGTTTTATCCCCTACCCTGTCCTGTCTACTCAATTCCATACATGCTAATCGTACCCAATAGTGCGCCCTGTTCGCGAGTTGGTTCTCCTTCGGCCTGCCCGGCGTCTTCTGGCTCTACCTCTACTACGGCAACTACTTCTCTTCGTGGCGCAAGACGCTGCTGACCATGGCCAACGTGGGGCTGTTCCTCATCGGCGCCACGATCTGCGTCTGCGGTCTGTGGGTGTCGGGCGTGGCCATTCACGACGACAGCTCCGGCAGCAGTTTCTCCTGCGCGAATAATGCGTGATGTGATGTAGCTGCATGACACGATCCATTGCATTGAGGCGTTTTCTGGGGATCCTTTTGGGCTGTATATAATCATACTATTTATAGAGTGTATCATAGACTAGACTTGTAATATACCCTTTGACTTTCTGTCCGACCTTGGTGCTGAATGCATTGCGATTCAATTGTGATAACGTCGTTGGAATGCTGGGCAGTTCGGAGGGAGTCTACGTCATCGCCGGTTGCGGTGCCGGTATTCAAGCCGAGGTAAAGATTCTAGAAGCACTCCACGCATTCCACGCATTCCATGGATCTCCTCATTGGGATAGATATCTAAGCAACATGCACAACGCCGAACAAGCATCATAATCTTCAGACATAAGCCATCATGCAAAGACTAAACCTCCAGCCGCATCATCAGCAACCGCAACACCCAATTCACGCACCCCGTCTCCCGCTCCACCCGCCCCATGCCGCCGTGAATCTCCCCCATTATCCCTTGCAACGTTTTCCGCGTGTACTCCATACTCCCACTGTCCTGCAAGATATCCAATACCTCTCGTTTCCTCGCGACCTCCATCGTCCCCGCCGCCCGCCCCTGCTCCAACATCTCCCAAAGTCGCCCGTTCTTCTCCCGCTCCTGCGCCCGCAGCGCATGGATAAGCGGAAAGGAGAACTTCCCTTCGTCGAGGTCCTCGCAGAAGCCCTTTTGGTCGGTATACTATCCCCCTCAGCATCAGCATTGCACACATCACGACTCAAGGTAGGGGGCCTACCTCTTCAGTCAGATTCTTGTAATCATCGCGGATCTGGAAGTATTCGCCCAACTTGTCGATTAACGGGAGGAGGGGGATGTCTCTGCGTACTCATTAGTTTGCGGACTGTAGATCTCTTAGGGCAGGGGGGGCGTACCGATTGCGCTGCGCAGGCGCGGTCGCGATCATCAGTCGCGCGAGGAGGCGGAAGAGGCCCCCTGTTTCTACTCATGGATAGTCGTCAATGTCTTATCGAGGATATGCACCGAGTAAGATCTTGTGGGCAGGGGAGATCATACTCTGCCGGATCATCTCCATGTACTCCACCTCGGACGGACAGACCGCCTCTCGCGTCCAATACACATCGTAGCTCTGACCGGTAAACAGGTTGCGCATCTCCTCGGTGTAGATGTCCAGACACGGTCCGTCGAGGTCAGCGAGGCCGCGCACCTCGTCCAGCGCCTGCAGGAGGAGGTAGTTGGCCGAGTTGATGGTGGGGCCCACCCCGTACACGGTGTGCGTGGCGGGCTGGCCGCGGCGGAGCGGGGAGGAGTCCTCGATGTCGTCCAGCCTGCGGAATTAGCATCCGATGGAGAAAATGGAGGTGAGGGAGGTACGGTACATTAACGAGGCGTTATGCAGGGTCTTGGCGATGGATTTGAGGAGCTTCACTTTCCGGTCGGGGAGCATGAGCCAGACGTTCAGGGCGTCGATGAACGCCTCGCGCACGCCCTTGGACGGCAGCGAGGCGATGTACTCGGCTGGGCTGAGGAGATGCTAGCACGGTGTCAGCCTGTCGATCCGAGGTATTGAGCGTGAAGTAGATACCTCAGCTCCCAGCTTGACTTCCCCAACCTCTCGCTCCTCCCCGGAAACAGACGAGATCGACGAGCGCGGCGAGTTCGCGCCCGACCAGACCGACGACTCGCTCGACTCGCTCTCCTCCGACACACTCGCGCGCTTCGCCTGCACCTGCACTTGCTGCGACACATGTCCCTCATCCGACGCCGTCAGCATACTCGCCGGTAGCAACCGCCCGGCCTCCTCAACGAGCTGCGGATGATACCGCGGACACCGCAGACTCCACGCCACGTTGCCGGGAATCTGATACCCCAGTGCGCGCAGGTAGACCTGCACTTTCCGGTTCTCGCGTCCCTCGCCAGCGACGTACTCGGCCACACGCTGCTGGAACTCGCGCTCGAAGTTGTTCGTGACCCGGCGCACCATCTCCTTGGCCGCGGGGACGTCGACGCCGTGCCAGTGCATGCACAGCCAGACGGCGTTGGTCATGGTCGTCTCCTCGGAGCGCTGGAACTCGTCCCACTCGACGTCGAAGGAGAAGTAGTCGTTGGCGAGGCCCAGCGCCGCGTAGCACGGGCGCACCACGGGCTCGATGCTGGCTTGCTCCTGGGGTGTGAGCACGAACCCCATCCCGAAGCGCATGAGCATGTCGACGAAGCTGCTGCTGTCAGTGGGTTTGGTACGAACAGGAGTGGGTGCTGCACTCACGGCGCCCCCGTGTCGATAATGCGATAGTCGACATACTCCTGCCAGCCCTCGAACGCGCGCGTCTTGTCCTGGGTCGCGGTGGTGTCGATCATGGTTTTCCACGAGTCGAGCACCACCTGGGCGCAGGCCGGGTCGATGGCGAACAGCTCCAGCAGCATCTTCGACTGCACCTGTTTCGTGCCGGTGACGGAGCGCACCGTACGGTATTCCGTCTCGTCCAGGGCGATGTCGTCGGCGTGGGCGTTGATCTGGGTTGTCAGTGCGTGCAGTGGATAGCAGCAGGGTGTACGCACGGTGGATTGGGCGGCTGACTCGACTACGTTGTCGTACATGAAGGCATCTATACGGTCAGCTGGGTCTTATTTCTGTCTTTCCTGTTTCTCGTTTCCTGACAAACGGCCACCTACATTCGAAGATGTAATTGACAATGGCCATCCGCTCCGGGCGGCAGCAGGGCAACACCACGGCCCCAAAGTGGCCCTCCCACGGATTACACGAGCCCCATCGCTCGATCGGTCCAATGTACTTCTCCCAGTCGGCGCGCAGCTGCAGCGAGCCCTCGTTGGCCTTGGGTTCTGCCCTGTGTCGGCGTAACGGGTAGCCGCGACAGAAGCCGTGGAGGTCGGGGGTGTCGCGGGGCACGAGGACGGAGAAGTGGTCTTCGTCGGGGAAGGGTGCTATCGATTCCATTGTTATTTATCTGTATCTGTATGAATATGGAAGTATAATACCAAAACTACAGTCGGGTGTCCCCCAGCATCCCCCCGGCCTTATAGTCTGCACGGCTTATCGGGCGCCCCAACGATCCCGTCATCGACTGCCTGCCCCAGCCCTAAGTCGACCCTCAACGCCAATGGCACATCGTCCCCGAATCTGGGTACCGAGCAGCCGGGTCATCGTGATCTGCAGCGAAAACAGGGTCAGACCGAAGGTTAATTAGGATCTCTGAGAACTGTCGGGTGAAAGAACCGCATTGACAGGCCGACAAACCATGGTTGCGTCGCGGTGATGTTGGGGGGCTCCACGGGAGGGATCCACTTCCCATGAACCATTGTTGATGTCATGGATTGGTTGACGATTACACTCATCCTCACTATCCGGGTGACCTGTCCGCTGAAGGAGATTCGCGATCTCTTTCCCGGGCCAGGATCGACGATCTGCATGCCGCGGAGGAACCTTGTCCAAGTTCCAACCCCCGAATTGCCGTGATAAACGCCGCGGCCTAGCCATGGCTGAGATAATCCTGCAGCGTCGGTGATTCGACCCGTCCAGCAAACATTCCTTCCTTTTTCTGCTGCCAGCTGGCGAGCCAGGCTGGCTGTTAAGTTAGGCGCTGTCTCTCTCTGAGTGTCATTTCACTTTTCACTTTCCCCTTTGATCAACCACCCCCCTTAAGTAGCACCAAGAATCACCAAAGCCACCGTCATGCCGAGTCTCGCCCCAGATACAGTGCCTCCGGACACCGACACGGCGGCGCTGGCCAGCTTCAAGGCCCTCTGCGCGGAACGAGGGCTGCTGGACCGGCCTCAGGGGCTACAAGCGGGGGATGTCGAGGACGGTCTAACCGACGACCTGACCTTACTGTACTGTACCCTCCCCCCTCTCTCTTACCACACTCATCCTCCATCACGAATCCAAACACTAACCAACCCCAGCCGCTTCCTGCAAGCCCGCAAGAACGACCCCACCACCGCCCTGCAACAATACGAATCCGCCTCGCGGTTCCACACCGACAAAACCATCGTCGAAGTCTACGACACCATCTCAATCGACGACTACGAAGCCACACGCAAACTCGTACCCACC